CCCCGCCCGGCCCCCCCCCCCCCCCCCCCCCCCCCCCCCCCCCCCCCCCCCCCCCCCCCCCCCCCCCCCCCCCCCGACGGAAGCCATACCTTCTGTCGTACAACACTACGACACACCGGGCAACGAGAGGAATCCTTAACACGGCTCTTATCATGACGATGCGACGGCATGCACTTTTCCGCACACCAGCGACAGAACATAGCATGTCCGCAGGGGAAAACGGCTGTATCCACCGTTTGACTCATGCAGACTTTGCACTCCATGTTGAGAGTCATCTCGGCCGTTTCCTTCGGTTCAGGGCGTTTATCTAACGGATCATCCAGTCCTTTTGGAATTGCCTGGCGAGAGACGTGGTTGCTGCTGGAACCCCCAGCGGAGTCGAAACCTTGAGCTGGTCCATGCCTATTCCTGGGGCGGCGAGACCGGTAATAAGGGACTCCTGGGGACCCAGAGGGTACGGGCGAATTGAGATAGGAGGGCCTCGAGAATGCTGCTGCAGCTCTATCACGAGCGGATGAGAAGGCAAGACTTGTTCCCGTTGAGGACCAAACCCGAGTGTGTGGGTTTACTCCAGTAATTCCAGGAGCATATGCTGCAGTGCCAAGATAGAAAGGGTTCGGACGAAGCTGCGCCTGCATAAATGCTGGATCGGGGGGTTGAATTGAGATCAAGGAATCACCCGAGTCTCTAGTCTGTGGAAACTGGGTAAACTGGGTAAACTCGATTGGCCGTGGATGCTGAGGCACAAACAACCCCGGGTCGGATCGCCATTCCACAAACTCAAGACCCGTTGCGCGAGGGCAACCCGGGCTGGGAGCAATCAAGGGAGGGTGAACCTGAGTCTGCCGGAGGGCGCCCGAAGGCACATTCTGGGGGTGGTTGAACGTATTTGGTTCGACTGTCTGTGGTCGTGTTTGAATTGCGTTCACGTTCTGTGGGAAATTATTTAGCCATGAATAGCTTTGCGCCCTACAGTCACGAACTGAGGTTGGTGCGACATCTATTGTAGATCCATTAAGCACTGGCATAGATGTCACTTCAGTCGACGGTTCATTGGCACCCGGGAGTGAAGCCTGTACGCTGGCATCCAACATATTGTTGTTCCAAGTAAACCTATGGCCAGCTGCTGACATGTCAGGTGCTGACCAATATTAAAGTCAAGAGAGTTACTTACTTGGTTCTTGCGGGGTGCACATGTTATTTGGAGCAGTTCCGTATGGGTTAGGAATTGCACGACCAAAGATGGTTTGGTTGTTTCCTGACGCGCCCTGCTCGTAGGTTTGGCCTGTGTCGTAGGAAGGCAGATCAAACGACACCTGATCGGTTCCGAGGCCTTGGGTCACATTACCTGAGCCCCAGAGTTGAGTACCATCAGAAGACATTATGAAAAGCGGGTTCAACTCGCAGGGCAGCTGGATTTGGAAGACGGATGATAAAGATCTTAATTGAGAAATCAGAAAATTTTCAGGAATGAAAAGAATGTTAATCGGAATGAAGCGGATTGAAAGGAGGGGGGAAATAAAAAGAGTAAAAAGGGAGAGGAGGAGGACGAGTCTATATGCTGTCGTTGCCAGAGCACATTTATTCAAACTCTCGACAGACCCCGGCAAAATACCGGCACTGTCCATGGAGGATGTGAGCCTATCAGTAGTGGACAGATTGCACATGACTCAGGCTTTAGAAGTGGAAGGCTCATCCATATAAGGCAACGCAGCATAAAAATGGGGCAAACCACCACAGACAGTGCATGGGGATTTTTTGGGGGTAGCAGAAAGAGCCGCGAAAAACAAAGGGAAAGATGCAAGTCGTTGGGGACCAACTAATAGTTCTGTTTGACTACTTACAGATAGCCCACAATAGGGAATGATGTTATTCTGACAAACGGTCAAGAATGACGGAGCAAAGCCGCAAGACTCTAGTGCAGTTTGGAGTTTGGGCGGTAGGAGTCTTAGGATCTGGTCGGAAGAGCTGACGTGCCAAACATGATTCGCAAGTCGAATGTGAGAAAAGCAGGGCCTTCCTGTGGAGAAGATCGGGATAACCGGAAAGTACAATAAGAATAATAAAATGGGAAAGAATCAGATTCTGATATGTAGGAGTATCCCAAATCCAAAAGACCACGCGGATTTGGATAGTCGAACGACACAGATGGGTTATGGTCTCCCGTCGATCTGTCTAGCTAGTGCGGCGTGATTCCACCACCATCGAAGTTCTGAAAGATCGAACCTTGTTAAATAACGGTGACCCGTCGAAGATCAAGCTACAGACGGGATAGTGAGTGAGTGACCTTTATAGTCAGGCAGGAATCAGAAGAATGGTCCCCGTGAATGGAAAAAAAAATCAAAAATCAAATAAACGAAACCTTGAGCTACATACAGCAAAGAGCCCGACAAGCTCATTCGTTACACTAGAAACTTTCAGGACGAAACTCCGTGCCTGGTTCCTTTTCCTTTCGGACTCCTGATCCTACATAAATCCCCACCGCGCAGCTGGAAGGAACAAGAAGTGAAAGAAGTGAAGGAGGGAGTGGGGAAGGGAAGGGAAAAAGGGAACGAAGATTGTCGGAAGGCAGACAGGTCCGAGAGCCCACCCAAGCTGGCTGATTGACGTCTGGACAACGTTGATTGCTCTAGGCCCGACGAGTTCAAGCCCCAGAGGGCACAGATGGCACCGGCGGGCTGCACTGCAACGCCGCCGCCGACCAACGTGCCTAAGCGATCTGGATTAATTAATTAATTCGCTGATCCATCTCGGGCTAAGGAGACAAAGAAAGGCAAGGTCGATGCGGGAGTCAGCAGGCTGACGGTTGACCCCCGCAGCTGATGTGTTCGTTTCATCTGGGAATCGAGGCCGCGCTGGCATGCGCCTAACAACCGGGGGGGGCGGCAGAAAGAACTACATTAATAAAAAGGCGGGCGGAAGACCCCCCAATCCACACGAAGGTCCGAGGAAGAATGGAGCAGATGCCTGGATTTAGGAGGGCAGCCGAAGCCATCGAGAGGGGGCAGTCACGGAGGCGTTCGTGACGGGGAAGAAGCGCCGAGCCGGGGCCCGCTGACTCAGGCCCGCCTACGGTTAGCACCTCCGAGTGACCGCGACGTACGTCATCGGCCTTTTTCCATTCATTCATTCATTCATTCATTCCTGAGGACGCCAGGCCGCCGTTCCACCCTCAGGCTCGCACTTCCCTCCACTGAATGAACATCGGGTCCCGCTCTCTTCGGCTGCTGCTGCGGCCGTCTCTCCTCTCCCGTCCTACCACCTCCGCCATGACGACTGCCGCCCCCGCCCATCAGGGCCTCGCCTTTACTGGTACCCCCGATCTCAGCAAGGAGGATCTCTGGCGATTCCCCGCGTTTCGGATCTGGCTGTCGACACTACAGCGCTCCCTAGAACAACAGCGCAACCCGTCTCATGAATTCTTCAAGGATCCCTACGTTCTACGCAAGATCGACGTGCAAGCCGTGGACTATTTCGGCGGGGGTCGTCTGGGGTTCGTGAAGTTGAAAGCTGGCGTGTCAAATGGCCGCGGGGAATCTCTTCCGGGCAGCGTCTTCCTGCGGGGTGGCAGTGTAGGAATGCTGGTAAGCGCCGACCAAGTTCCCTGCTTCCCCTCAGCATCTTTGTGTCACTAACAGCCCGTCCCTTGGTTCGACAAAGCTCATCCTCCAGCCCGACGATGTGCCGCCATCCAACGAAAATGAGAAGCGAGCAATTCTTACCGTCCAGCCTCGAGTCCCTGCCGGCTCGCTTGCATTCTCCGAGATCCCTGCCGGTATGCTCGACGACAGCGGGTCCTTTGCCGGTGGTGCCGCCAAGGAAATCCAGGAGGAGACGGGGCTGGTCATTCCTCAGGATGAACTCATCGACATGACCTCCCTAGCGTCGCAGTTGACTGCCCGATCGGAGAATGAAGAAACCCTCCAAGATGCGGTCTATCCCTCGGCGGGAGGAAGTGACGAGTTCATTCCTTTATTCTTCTGTCAGAAACGCATGCCACGGGGTGACATCGACGCACTACAGGGCCGATTAACGGGATTACGACAAGAAGGGGAGAAAATCACTCTAAATATCGTACCGTTAAAGGACTTGTGGAAAGAAGGGTTGCGGGATGGCAAGACTTTGGCAGCTTGGGCCTTGTACAAGGGCCTCCAGGAGGAAGGCCGAATTTGATCGTCGAGATATGAATCAAGTCTATCGGTTTCTATCGAATGATCGACACGACTGCTAGGTACCCGTCTAAAATACGATATCAACTCCGGGTGAATCATCGACAAGAGACTTTATAGCTTCCACTTCTTCGCAAGCTCAATCCCCTCGGCAATCGTCCCCACGCGAGCGTCAATGGCATAACCCTCCGCCTCCAACTTCTTCAACTCCTCGAACAAGGTCGATAAAGGAGTGCTGAAACACTCGATGAACTCGTTGTCCTCGAGCTGCGGCTTGGGGTTCTGGTTCTCGGGCAGCGACATATCCACCCGCACGTGAACCATGTTCAGGTTAGTGTTGCAAAACCCGGGGTCTGTCAGATGATCGCGATTAGTGACTCAATCCCACCCAGCGGGGGCCAACCCGTAGATTGTCGAAGCCCGCCGAATATGCAGCTTACTTGAATAGAGAACCAGCCTACCATTATACATCACACTACTTGTCTCCTCCGCGACTCCCACGTAGCCCGTCTCCTCTTTTAGTTCACGCACAGCGCATTCTTCAACCTTCTCACCCGCATCAATCAGGCCCGCGGGCACCTCGATGACAACCCTATCGATAGGCGGTCGGTACTGTTTTTGTAGGAGCAGCTCTGGGCCCGAGGCCTTGTTGAGAATGGTCACGATCCCAACGCCGTCAATCGCGCAGTTCGCCGGTCGGGTCTACAATGATCATGTGAGTGTCAGGATCGTATAACGTTGGATCAAATGACCGTGATTATTTGGTAGCAGGTAACAGAAGAAGCCACAATCAGCGCCACCATAGAGCCATAACCAAGGTAGGGAATCTAATTAATTACCTGTCGCTCCGCAGACTCCCATGTGCGTTCCACGCCGAGAGGATCCCGGTATGTAGTCTTGACAAGTCTAGCCCATCTGGCTTCTTTTGGGTCCTAAAAGAAAGTCATGAATCCCAACCGATCAATATCTGGGAATCAATGAATCATACCAGCGGGCCTCTTGACACCAACGTCGACTTGATTTCTTGGCGTTCCGACATTTTTGATAATAAATATGAATAAGTATATATGATCGTATTGAGATCAATTGGTATCGTTCGTACACCGTAGGAACCAGATTTCCGATAGCGACCGGATAGGATGGAGGAAGCTTCCAAGCTTCGTCCGACAGGACCGTCACGAGGGACAGAGGAGCGGGGTTCCGCGGGAGGGCTGGGACCCTTATCTTATCGGCATTCCATAGGTACTCCATACTCCATACTCCGGGGTGTTGTATGAGTATAAGGCTCGTCGGTTTCCAACCCGGCATTGTTTGGTCATGTGGCATGGTCTGTCTCCTCGATATACTTTGGTGTCTACGGTACACTGGAATTTGAGGTACACTACACTTTTCTGGAAACAACGGGCATTTGAGAAAGTAAATGGTATTTCTTTGCTATACGCAGTAGACATGTCTATGCTAGAACGTGGCAATAAACCATGCTTTCCCGATCGCAGATATGTGGGAACAAAAAGAAATGAACATGATCAAACTGGTCCGCTCGACACGTGTATGTTTATCGTATAATCGATGACATGCAATGCGAATGATCTTCGGTGGTTGAAAATTAAATGAAATAGAGAAAACTCATTGCTCCGTAACGACCTGCGCTCGCTATCGTAACTCGTATGAAGAAATATCAGGGTGCAGACTCGATCACGAGTTCTCGATCTCAGCCATGCACTGCTCGAACTCGGACCAATCCTTCATGATGACCTTGGCTCCGAGCTCCTTGAGAAGCTTCGCCATTTCGGCCTGCTTGGCATTTCCGGGGTAGCTGCCAACGTATCCGATGACGTGGATGCCGGCACGGATGGCGCTGAGGGCGCCTGACTTGCTATCCTCAATCGCGACAACCTCGTTAGCCTCCTTGCCGCACTTCTTCAGGGCGTGGAGGTAGATAGCCGGGTCAGGCTTCGACGTGGGCTTCTCAAGCGAAGTGGCCGCGCTGAAGACCTTGTCCTCGTCAAAGTACTTGTCCTGGTCTACCTTCTTGATTGAGGCCCTGACCCGGCGTAAGGCAGACGAGGAGACCACGGCAAGGCCGTACTTCTTCGAATCATAGAGCTTCTGGAGCTCCTCGGTAGCGCCCACACAAGGCTGAGCCTTCTCGGTCAGCTTGGCGATCACCTTGTCCTCCTCCTTGGTGACATATCCCTCCAGCTCCTCCTGGGGCAGATCAAGTTCGTACTTGGCCTGCAGAGAGACCATCATACCCCGGAAGTTCTGACCGACAAAGTCCTGGATGAGCTGCTCCCCAGTGTACCGGTCCGGGATGTTCTGCTTCTCCAGAATCTCATTGGCGAGATCGGCGCAGGCCTCGAACGCCAACTCTTCGGAGAGGACGAGGGTGTTGTCGCAGTCAAAGAAGATCTCGGTGATCTGCAAACGTGGCACCTGTTAGTGGCGTGGGTCTAAGATATCGGCGGACGATAGGAAAAATCAACTCACTTTAGGCATGATGGCGATGTTGATCGACTATCTCAACGGTCAGAGAGAGGATGAGAGAGTGTGAAGGGAAGGCCTGAGCGGGCTGTAGGTGGTGACTTTAAAGCTGAGGAAAGGACCAGAGAAGTGGGGGCGGTTGAAAACAAATGCGAATTCACTAAGGAAGCTCCCGGTGAAACAAGAGGGAAGATGTGCCTTAAGTAGTTCGGCCGAAACTGGTCCCCAGGGAGCCCACAATGACGCTAACTGGGTGATTCAAAATAGCAACGATTCTATTCACGGCGTAAACATGGGATTCTGGGCGCAAACCGGGCAAGAGCGGGACCAGGGAAGATAGATAGCGGGGCCTGAGGTCATACCTATCGAGGGGACCCGTGACGTTGCCGGCTTCGTTTGCCCGCACCGAAAGACGCCGGCCTTCGGGGCTGCCCAGGCACTAAACCGCGCGCTAAGCCCCCTGAGGCAGACGTGCTGCCATTCCCTCTCGGGCCAACGCTCGCTCCTCGCACTAGCCTTGCCTTTGCAGTTTCTCTACTCCCATTTCTAACGGTCTACGGTCTACAGTCTACGATCCATGTAACCCGAGATACTCATGCATTGCTGATATGTACAACATCCATAACATTGGAAATCAACTCTTGTGTTTGTCCGGAGCGATGTCGTTCATGCCCAATAACCCACGGCATGTCCATGACTTTTTATGACCCCAAATGCTGACACCAATCAAGCGGCTGAAGAGGCTGGAATGTTCTGCGGTTGAACCAAAAAGTTGACTAGGATAGGATGGCCGAGGGGCATGATCAAGTGCGATTGTTTCTCAATCTCAAAGTCAGGGACCATTGGCTTAGACCCAGGGTAGTCCGCGCGGACCTCGAAAGTACTGCTACATCCCGGTACATGCTAGGATTCCTTGTGGGACTAGGAAATCAAACATTTCAAAGTGTCTAGAAGTATCTCGATGTACCTGGACTCGGCGGTAACTTCTGCCCCACCCGCTCCTCCGTATATGCTGGAATCTACAATTATTTTGACTAATAGCAAATTTAGAATTGCATTGCACAGAAGCCCCTTATACTGGAAGCTCTATTACAGTCTACAGTCATCGTCTTGTCTATTATGGAGGTTTCCCAAGCATGACAGACAGGATACTCCCCTCGTCGCCCTGCCCGTGGCCATTCTGTATCCTTTGGTTTGCTGCCTCGGAACGACACCCGAATCCGCAGGCAGGATTCCGGTGGGTCATTGCCTGATCTTCATTGGTTGAGGGGCCCCTTCTTTTCCACGACAATTCTTCTATGGATTTCCTTCTTGACCTGCTTCCTGGTGTCGTCGTATTCCAAGACTCGAAGATTCCGCGAAAACGGTCCAGGCGGGTTGTCAACTGACATCCACACGAAACTCCTTACAAGCATTTACCAGTTACCATTGCGATTCATCCTTAGTCTTCCCAAATTTGGCCCTTGCCCGTCTCATTGCCTAGGTAGTCTGTCCACGTCGCCGGCATTTCCCCGCCTTTCAACTGGAAGCCTGTGATTTGCGGGTGAGAACAGCCTGATTCTAGGGACAGTTTTCACGATTGCGGCCAAGTCCCACGAGGAAACATGGGTTCCGATCCCTACCCGGTTTCGGTCTCGTCCCTTCTTTTCCCATCCCGCGAGCTGCAGTCCGTCTCCCAGACCCTTTCTTCGCTGCGACGCTCCGCACTCTCCCTCACCAACCGACTCCGTTCTATCGAGTCGGATGCCACCTTCGCACAGGAAGTCTCCGACCACTACGACCTTCCCCTTGTAGCCAATGAACGATGTGGGAGTTGGTATATCCCACCGGAAGCCAAATCTGGTAGCGCCTACTTCAAGAGCACCGATGGCCATACCGGCCAGTGGGACTTTAGCTTTCGTAGACTAAACCTGCAGATCCTGCCAATCGCTCAGAAGTTTGGGGGGTGAGTAATTCCAATGCCCTGCAACGACTGCTTCCGCCAATGGAATATCTTCCCGGGCTGACCGTTGCTCCCAATGAGCGCTGCAGCTGCATTATAGTCGACTCGACGCGCCGGGGCAAATGTAAGTCAACGGCTTGTTCAGCCCGCTCTCCCACTCCTCGTGTAACCGTCGACTCACTAGGCGCCAGTGATGCCCGATGCCCTCTCCAAGACCGTGCCCATCTGGTCTGCTGTTATCAATCGAACTCTGTTCCCGTCCGACACTGCATATCACCCGGTCCAGTTCCCGCCAAACTTTCTGGGCGAGTCAGAAGAGTCGCAAATCGAGAAACGCATCGACGGCTTTATCAAATCACTCAAGGTACCTCCCCCCTTGATTGGATCGTTTTGATCAATCCTGGTCGGGTACTGACTGGTCCCAGGATCTTAAGCTTGACTTGGGCCACCTCAGGCAGCAACTGGGCAAGCCTATCCGTATCGCATGGGCCAATCGCTCTTATTTTCACCCCACGGACTTATACAAAGGCGATGATTATAACCTCTTCGTCCTTTGCTCCGCCTCCAAACGGGTGCATGGCGCGGAAATATCGGAGGGTGGCTACATCCAGGGCGCAGGGGATGACAGTGAAAGTTGGGCTTATGGTTTAACGCCTCCAGTCTTCTGGGCCAATAAACCCATCATCTTCCAAACGGCGGAGGAATATTTGCCCCAGCTCTTTGAAGAGTTGGTCAAGGAACAGAGTCAGCAGGAAAGCGTCCATCAGGCCACTCTCATCACACCGACTCAGAATCTGTACATCGGCCCGTCGGATGGTCGGACAAACGAGAGCAGCTTGTATGATTTGATCATCGACTGCAATGCTCCTGCAGACGCCTCGGAAGGTAATGCGAAACGGCTGAATCTTGGGTGCGGGTCGGCAAAGCTGGGAGGTCGAGACCTCCGCAATCATCTGGACAGGGTTCAAGCTTTTATCAGTTCGCAGCTTGCTCCCGATCCGTCACGGTCGTTGCTTGTGACATGCGAATCCGGAAAGGATCTTTCGGCCGGTGTCTTACTCACCATCTTATGCTCGTCCTACGATGACGCCGGTATGTCCCATCTTTCCTTCCCTTCTTCCCTTCCCGACAACATCTTTTCTGACTCTTCTAGGGGCTTTCTCGTCCTCCAGTCAGCCCAGAGTTAGCAAGCAGTTTATCCGACAGCGTCTGGCCTGGATTGTATCGTCAAAACACGACGTCAATCCCTCGCGCACTACGCTCCAATCTGTCAACGCCTTTCTCATGCAAAGACCAGATTACTAAACAATCATATCGTTGCATTACATATACAGCTATAGCTGCACTCTATACAAGTCATCACACATCTTGGATATTTACTCATTGACCACGGCCTCCACGATCGCCCCAGCACGTCCCTGATCCAGGGCGCTCAGCACAGCGAAGTCCTCTTCGCTGATATCAAAGTCGAAGACATCGGCATTGCTGACAATTCGGTCCGGGTCGTCGGTCTTGGGAAGCGGAACCCACCCCTTCTGCAGAGCGTAGCGTATCAGGACCTGCTGGGTACTCTTTCCGTATTTGTTCGCCAGTTCGACAAGCGTAGGATCGCTAGCTTTATAGTTGCGCACGATGGGGGAATAAGCTTCGACGACGATTCCGTTCTGCTTGCAATAGGCATCGATCACCCGCTGCTGACACCACGGATGAAGCTAATATGTTATTCCCCGTTAGCATCGCACCCTATACTCCAAAGCTAGGTAGGATTGCAAGTACTCACCTCAATTTGGTTGACATGTGGCGGCCAGACCTTCGCAAAGGGCTTCAACTCCTCGATGTGCTGAACTCCAAAGTTACTCACGCCAATACTCTTCGTTTTTCCTTCCTCCAGCAGCTTTTCCAACGCTTGCCACAGCTCCTTCCGACCCGAGGGCCCCGAGCTGGAGCTGTGAATCAAAAACAAATCGACGTATCCATCCTTGCCTCCAATCTTTTCCACGCTATCCAGCAGCTTGCTGTAAGTAGCTTCGGGCGACCCCGCGGGACTCAGGATTTTGGTCGTCACGAAGATCTCGCTGCGCGGGATCCCCGAAGCGCGGATCGCCTCGCCGACTTCCTTCTCGTTCGCGTAGAACTGGGCCGTATCGATGTGTCGGTATCCGGCTTGCAAAGCCTTCAAGCAAGACTGAACGGTTTGGCTCGTGGGGGAGCGATAGACACCGAATCCGAGACGGGGGATCCTGACCGAGGAATTCGGGAGGGGAAGCAGGTCGTTGATGGTGAAGTTTGCGGACATTTTGCTTGCTTCAAGAACAGAATCCTTCCTTAAGATGAGGTCAAGAGCAAGGAAAACACAATGCAGTGTTCTAAAATCGGTAACTTGCGAGCAGACTTTGTGCTTCTTCTTATTCTCTGGAATGGAATTTGGAGATGGAGGCGAGCGGGGAGAAGATTTGCTCATCGCGTGCTGCGGCGACGGCGGTGTCCCGCTTTTGCCCCGCCATCCGACATGATATCATCGCTCTTTACCAATGGGCGAGGGAATGCTATTGCGCAATTGCTGGCTGATGGCTGTCAGGGACTGGGCCTTTGTTCGCTTTGTTTCTCTAGTTTGATTAATAAACTTTCCATGGTCTGGTTCCTCTTCTTTTCCTTTCCTCTACTTGGGGGCGATTTGGTGTGTTCTATCATCTATGTCCTTGCCCGTGTCACCTCGCAACCTCCATGTCGCAATAGAACCACATCTGCACAAAATTACTTTACACTCTCTATCTTCTATCTTCTGCTTCAATTAAGTCCTCGGGGGCATAAGGGATATCATAAGTTCTCAACAGAAACGCCAAATATCATGAATAATCCGGCCAGGAATCACTTACGTAATGATTTCCTCTGTCGAACATTCGATGCAAACGAGCCAAACAAATATCCTCATACTCAGTCCAGGGCAGGCAACATAATTTGTCAAACCAACTGATTTTCTGGTAGCTGAATCAGGTCATTCGGAATAGGATGAGTGATTTGTTTAAAGCTTCTTCTATCTTACACGGTTTAATTCAAACTGAGATGTTTGATACGCTGCATGCGATTCTAGTTTACACGATATATATCATCCTGGCAGTCCGCTCTGGCTTGATATTTCAAGGCTCTTAAGGACAAGGACACATGGTAGCAGACATGATTAATTAGCCTCTGTTGATGCGTTTTCCCCCTCCTGCTCGCCTTGAACCAGACCATGATGATAAAATCAATAGTGATGTCTGTAAGAGCAAGCGATTGGTGTGACTATTTATCTTGACAAACAAGATCAACGAAAGCGTGGTTACTTCGGAAGGTTGAGTATTTTATTCCTGGGGGTTATGCAATGTACTGTATCTAGGCCTCGGCTACATGATTTCAAAGTCAGATATCTCATGGACATTTGAATCTCTGAATGACCAGATATGTAAAAGCTACCAATTAGTGTTTTGGATTGGTACATTTCTCAATTTTATAGCGAGTACGGAGTGGCTAGACGGTATACCTCAAGATCATAATGCTTTTATTGTACAGACCACTGAGAATTATAGATGATTTATCTCTATCGCATCCTTGTCCCTTCAGTTCAGTCTTAAACTTGACCAGAATGCATCATGTCCGACTTCAGGCTAGTTGTCAATTCATTTTGCAAACTTTAAATCAAGCTAAAAACCATAAGTGTTGAGGAAGTTGACATCTAGACCCATGGTATGTATTCTCTTGATTCTGTTTGTTACGGATTTCATGGCCACCGCAGAAGGACCCAAAAATATACGGTGTTAGCAGCTATGTGAGGGGTGTTGGTGGCTCCTTGGAGATAGAAAAGCTGGGCTTCAGGATGTCTATTCCGTCGAGAAGCATCTACAAGAGGTAGGTGGATTGTGAAAAGCGCCGATACTCTTTCGACCTCGAACCCCGGAGGCTGCTGCTGTGTGGCTGGAGTGAGGCGCAAATGAGGTGATTCCGATCGGTATCTTTGGGCATCAAAGATCCAACGCGCCCGGGGGAAGAGGCGGTGGATGGACAGTAGGTAGTATATCACGGTGCCTCCCAGCCACCCGGGAGAACAACGTCGCTCGGCTCTTCCCTAGCTCTAGCGGATCTATTGTATATCCAGCCACCCGTTTTCTCCTTAATATTGCCATCAAATGAAACACGACCAGTTGACATGCGGAAGATTTGGGCCACCAGAGTTTGGGTCGCAGTGGGTCCGGGAATTCCTCCATGCGTGCCTGAATTGAGAATTCGACTGTAGTATCCCCTGGGATCGAAGAGAGCGAGGCACAGTGCCGCAAAGAAAGGAGATAGCAGCGGGTTTCTCGGCCTATCATGGCACTGACGTTACCACCGCGTCCATCAGCCCATGACAGGAGCTCTAGAGCACTCCGTACTCCATGCATAAACTGTTTAATGTATCTTCTGTTTCTATTTTTGGGCTCTGCAGCGCTAAATGCAATTACCGTATTGTCAATACCCGTCGAGGTAAAAGAGGATGATCATCTCCCGTCGAGACGAACCATCGCCAAAGTCCTGCGATCTGGCTTGCGAGTTCCGGGGAGGCAATGGCGATTCCGATGGAATGTGAAATCGCCAGGTCCCCAAGAATGGATCCAGGGGGACAAATCGGTAGCCGCCGACGGTCAACCATGGCCGCCGGTTGCTGTGGGGGGCGGAGGATTGTTGTTCATGACATGCCGGAGTTCTCGACTTCTCTGTTCATTTACATTAAAAAGTGACTCCATCGCGATTAATTAATACCAGGTGTGGTACGGTAATTATACCAGGGCGCCCCTTTCCTTGCCAGAAGAATCAGGCATCCCGAACTAGATGCTTTTAGTATTAAAGAAGTCTTTTTTTTTTCTTCATGGGCCAGACTCCAAGTAACTAAACACCCTGAACGGACGTGACAGCAGACCGACCCGGACACTCGACTCGAATTGGTTTCAGCCTCCATCCAACCATCCCATTTTCTCTGCATTGTCCCGCCGCCTGCTGCTGCTCTTTAGACTCTTAGTTCCCCTACGGTCGCCGCTAAGACATTCAGTTCCAGTGCGGATGAGCGAATCGTATTGCTGCCCTCACTCTTTCTTTCTCATTCGTCCGTCGTGAAGATCCTGCCTTTTCCATCCAAGTCCGCCGGCTCTCTTTCTATCAGTCGCCCTGCCCTCGTCTCCCTCTCCCCACCCTTCCGTTGCTCCCATTGTCATTCAGTCAACTCCAATTTCACCCTCCCAGCCCTGAATGTTCCTTTGGACTTCCATCCTTCATCATGTTGACGGTTGAGAAGCAGTGGATCAATGTACAACAGAAAACTTTCACAAAATGGTCAGTGTTCTATCCTTGTGTCGGCCGTGCCTAACGGTCACACCCCTCGTTTTGGCTCGCCGTTGCGCCCGCTCAAGGCTGTCGCTCTAGAAACTTTTTCTCCGGAGAGATACTAGTCGCTAACGCTCGTGATCAACAGGCTTAATGATAAGATAAAGGTGCGACGCATCTTCATCGATGACTTGGTGCAAGACCTGTCGACCGGAGTGAGTAAACCCCCGCGGCCTTGTTTCCGTAATCTCCAGAGGGGCACAAATAAATTCACCCTCCCTCTTCCCCAACAATGAATTCTAGCTGACGAGATTCTGCTGCCTACTTAGGTTATCCTCATCCATCTCCTCGAAATCCTCGGTGCAGAATCTCTTGGTCGTTATGCCTCGAATCCCAAACTGCGAGTACAAAAGTTCGAAAATGTCAACAAAAGTCTGGACTTCATCAAAGGCCGGGGCATTCAGATGACCAACATCGGCGCGGAGGACATTGTCGACGGGAACAGAAAGATCATTCTGGGTCTAATATGGACCCTCATTTTGCGATTCACCATCAGCGACATCAACGAAGAGGGTATGACGGCAAAAGAGGGTCTCCTGCTATGGTGTCAAAGAAAAACAGCCTGCTACGAAGGAGTGGAGGTGCGCGACTTCTCCACCAGCTGGAACGACGGCCTGGCGTTCTGCGCTCTGCTGGATATCCACCGTCCCGACTTGATCGACTTTGATGCCCTGGACAAGAAAGATCACCGCGGAAACATGAAATTGGCTTTCGAAATCGCGGCGAACGAAATCGGTATCCCGGATCTGTTGGACGTTGACGATGTCTGCGACGTCGCGAAGCCCGACGAGCGGTCTCTGATGACCTACATAGCCTACTGGTTCCATGCCTTCTCGCAACTGGAACGAGTCGAGAATGCCGGTCGACGAGTGGAGAAGTTCATCAACAACATGCACGGTGCCTGGGAGATGCAGAACTCGTACGAGCAGAGGATGAGGCAGTTGCTGCGTTTGATCCGCGAACAACGTGACCTCTGGAAGAACTCCACCTTTGAAGGAACCTACAAGGACGCGAAAGACCAGGCTTTCCAATTCTCCCTGTATAAGCGAAACCAGAAGCGCCAATGGGTCGCCGAGAAGTCGGATCTCGCAGCTCTGCTGGGTAACATCAAAACCAAGCTTAGCACGTACCGACTTCGTCCATATGACCCTCCCGAGGATCTCCGCCTCGAGGTTTCCGACCAAGAATGGGAGTACTTGACGCGCGATGAACACGAACGTAGTCAGCTTATTAACGAGACGATTCGTGACATCAAGAATGCCCTGCGCCGGTCCTTCGCAGACAAAGCAAATGACTTCGCGCTAACCCTGAAAACGTTATCCCTTGCGATCTCCGGACTGGACGGTGACGTAGAGGACCAGCTGGCACACGTGAAGAGGCTCAATGATAACCTGCCTCCCCTCGACGCCTTCTTAGATACCATCGCGGCCTTGGACGAGCAGTGCGCCGAAGCGAACATTGAAGAAAACGACTACACCACGTATACGCTAGACGAACTTTCCTACGAGTTGAGTCTGGTGAAATCCAGTATCTCAAAGAAACTTGCCTTCCTCGATAACCAACTCGTCGCCCGAAACATGACGAACCTGACCCCGATTCAACTGGAAGAGTTCGAGTCTGTGTTCCGACATTTCGACCGCGACTCCTCCAACACCCTCCACGAACTGGAGTTCTCGGCAGCACTTGCCAGCCTCGGCCTTGTGTATGACGAAGAGGAGATGCATCAAGTCTTCGTCGAAACTTGCGGTCCAGCTAGACTCGGACAAAACGCCGGTGTCAGTTTTGAGCAGTTCATCCGTTTTATGGTTAGCGTCACGGAAGACCAGAACACGGCCGAACAAGTATTCCAGAGTTTCCGTGAAGTTGCGGATGGCAAGGTATGTACCATGCGTTTCTTTCTTTTTTAGAGACTAACCTTCCTACCTAGCCCTATGTCACGGAACTTGATCTTCGGCATTCTCTCATTCCGGATGAGCTCATTGAGCATCTTGTTCAAACCATGCCCCAACACCAAGGGCCGGACCTGCTCGAAGACCGCGAGCTCGCCAAATATGACTACATTAGCTTCATGGAGAAGATGATGGAGGCAAACAACGGTGGCGGCCATGATGCAGCCACCAATGGAGGAGCCTAAGACCAACACCCCCTTTTTCAAAAACTCACTGCCTTTTCTTTCCCCTCAGTTTTCTTCTTTAATTACACCCCCTTCTGTTATTTTCCTTTTCCTCAGTCTCTCATACTCGGATACAGCAACTGGTGTTTTTCTGGAGCCAAAATGGAGGGTTGGGTGTCTTGATGGGCGATTATCTCCTGCATGCATACCAGGCTGGCCGCACTGCACACTTGGTTTTGTCCTTTTTTTCTGCGTTCTGGATGTTTCTTCCCCGATACCAAAATTATTTGCAATCACTAGCATGGATCAGAGAGGTTAGGAGTAGTCAAAATCTGAATAGAATTACGGAATATTGATTATCGTGGTACTTTGGTACATAAATACTGTAGTAGTAGTTAGTGACCTAATAATAGAAGGCAGAGTGGCTGCAGGATGATGAGATGTAATTAGCTCGGAGGCCAGGAACAACATTAGTCCGTCCAAGGCTCATATTTTGTAGAGGCCACAATCCTCTTCAAACATTCAAGCACTCAAGTATCTATGTACTCTAGGCCACGTTTTAGATAGAGTATTAATTCATTCATTTGCATTTTCCTTATGACTTAGGCCTCGTACAGCTCGGACCGATCGAACTCCACCACTCCTCTGAGCTTAACCACTTCACAGGAGAGATCGGATCCACGTGACCTCGCCGCTCCGTGTCTCGGCCTTTCCATCCTTGCTCTGTCTTCCGGCCTCATCTTGTTCACCTCTCCGAACCATTGACTTTCCCCTTACAACTGTTTGCTTAGAAGGCTAGCTAGTGTTATTTGTTTACTTCCTACTCATCCTCTTCGTTTCCGTTCATCCCCTCTCCACGTGTCCCAAGATGGACCGCAGCTTGGACGAGATCATCGCGGAGCGTCCTGTAAGGCTATAGCTTCCCCCAAGATTTACGGCCGACCCTGCATCTCCCCTGTTCCCTCAGATCTGCTAACGCCCACCCCAGCAACAGAATCAGAATCGGGGTCGCCGTCCTCAGGGTCAAGGCCGTCGCCGTGATGGCGTCAAAAAGGTAAACTCCCTCCCATCCGACGCTGTCTTCAATGATCGCGACGCTGGAAATCCGTTTGTTTGCTGCCAAGAGTCTGGAACAATCATACTGATCAGCATCGTTGCAAACACTCAGGTCCTCCCTCCTCTTGTTCTCCTTTCGAACCTTCCTCCTCCTCGCGCATCGTGAAAAAAAATGGCTAGCCTGCATTCACTCGCCCTTCTATTTCGGAGGGTTGCAAGGCTGCGAACATCCTCGCGGAAAATGAGATGATCTTATGATGGAGCAGTTTTCATGACACCTACTTTGACTTCCAGCTGACCTTGTCTTCTACTTCTCGATCACAACAGCCCTATCGAGAGGATCGTGTCGATTTAGATTTGTATTTCATCCTGGGTTGAGAATGAACGGTGTGGATGACCCTTGGCTGACATGAATGGTAGGGACTGGGTCCATGATAAGTACGAAGATGACAGAGATGGTGTGTTTCCGTCCCCGAACCATGGGAGAGAGAAGGTTGTAATGAAGATGGTTGCTAATCTGATCTCGTTTAGCACGCCCTTCTCGTGCCCCCCGACGCCCGCGCGGTGATCGCTACTCCCCCCAGCCGGAACAGTATGTCTTGCTTGCGTGTTGGCTGTTTGTTGTTGAGCTTTGTGGACATTCGACTAAGACAAGATAGTGCCCATACCGGATCGAAACTTCGCATCGAGAACCTTCACTACGATATCACCGAGAGCGATCTGGAGGTATGCGCCCGACGTGATGGATAGTACACGGTCATGGCATCTAACGTAAACTCCCGTGTAGGATCTATTCTCCCGCATCGGACCCGTCACCAATCTCACCATCGTCTACGACCGAGCAGGCCGCTCCGAAGGCGTTGCCTATGTCACCTACAGCCGCAACAGCGACGCGCGAACCGCGATCAACGAATTCGACGGCGCAAACGCCAAAGGTCAACCCATCCGATTGTCCCTCGTTGCTGGCGGCGGCGGCGGTAGTAGCCGACGAGACCGAAATCCCTTCGACAACATCCAACGACCTAAGGGTAGCCTCTTCGACCGCGTCGAACGCCCCCGCGGCGGCCGCGACGCTCGCAGTCTAAGCCCCGGAAGCGCAAGCGATGATCCCGATGGCGCTCGCCGTCGTAGAGGCGGTGGTCGACGCGGTGGCGCGGGCCGCTACCGACGCAGCGACGTCTCGAAGCCGGCTCCCGAGCACATCGACCGATACGTACCGGGCCAGCGGTCGCCCACTCGTCGACCTGCCAACGGTGGAGGACGACGACAAGGTGGTGGTGGAGGTGGAGGTGGTGAGAACCGTCGAACTGCCAACGGCCGACCCCGAAAGACGCAAGAAGAGCTAGACCAGGAAATGGACGATTACTGGGGCGGAGCGACCGGCGGTTCCGGCGCGGCCGAGAAACAAGCCGGCGCTGAAGAACATCACGCTCCTGCGGCTGCAGCACCTGTCGCAGCACCCGCTGCTGGCGGCGACGACGACGTGGATATGATTGAGTGAGGGGATCGATCGATTGATTGATCATAGCCAACGATCGGAGGTCAACTTTTTGTAGCTCGAAAAGTGAAAAAAAAAAAAAAAAAAAAAAAAAAAAGAGAATGTGCTGGCGAACATCAGAGCAGAGCAGAAGAAATGGACGAGACCCCAATTTTGTGATATTATAGGTATAGCACGGCTCAACCAGATTTCCATTTTACTCTCCGTGATATCGGTACATTTTCTGCACCGTTCTTTACCCATTCATTCATGATCTACGTAGATTCAACTTGAACTACCCACTAACCAAGAAATTCCTTAACGTAGGAAAAGAGAAGAAGAAAAGAGTAAAAGGAAAGAAAGGTCTTTCCCAACCCCAGAAAAGCAATAGTGAGTGACATAACCATTAAAATGGTCCATGAAATTGAATTGGTTTTTTCCCAAAGCCCAAAAGCAAAAGACCTGGGTAGGTAGGTAGGTAGGTAGGTAAATAGGTAAATAGGTAAAGAGGTAGGTTAATACCAAAAGATCACCGCCACAAGCCATACGGTTCACGACACGCCTTCCACAATTTAATCGTGCCGTCCTCACTTCCAGTGCCGTAGAGCTTGCCGTCGGGAGAGAAGCTAACGGACCAGATGGGACCGTGGTGACCTTTTTGGACTTCTACATATCGCAAGAAAAAAATCATGGTTAGTGGTTGATTGGTCCATTGAAAAAAAAAAAAAAAAAAAAAAAAAAAACAACCAAATAGAGCGGAGGAAAAGAATGTAGGGCCTTTAAAGGGAAAGAAAAGAACAAACATACCCAACTCCTCATCAGTTCGGAGATCATAAACTCTCGCCCAAGTATCATCCGCACTACCGGTGACCAACTTGGCCGAGTCATTATTCACGGCCGCACTGGCAACCTCATACCGGAAGGTAGACTGCTTGAGCAAGCGGCCCGGGGAGGCACCATCGAACAAGTAGACAGATTTACCGGCCGCAACGGTCAAGATGCCGGGATCGTTGGGTCGGGTGGCGAGGGTATTCAATTCGCAACTCCCGATGGGACCGTCAACGGTGTGCTCGTAGATGGGGTGTCGAGAGCGCAGATCCCACCAACGGATCTTGCGGTCCTCAGCGGCCGTGGTCAGAATGTTGTAATCCTGGTTCCAGACGATCGATTTGATGGTGCCGGTGTGCACGCCGGGGCCGATCTCGTAGCTCGTAGCTGGGGGCGCATTGCCGTTCTCGCTACCGCCGGGGGCGGACGCGTAGGTCGGCGACGAGGCGTTGCTGCCGCGCGAGAGGTCGAAGATGCGGAGCTTCTTCTCAAATCCACCGGTGGCAAGCACCTGTGGGGACGGCTGCAGGGGGAATGCGACGGCTCGACAGATGTGCGAGTGTTGCAGGGTATGCAGACACTCTCCCGTGTGGGTGTCCCAGACTTTGCTGTGGGGAATTGTTAGTCGGCCTTTGACTCAAAAAGGGGAGAGGGATCTTACGCAGAGAAATCCGCCGCAGCTGTAGCTGCGATAGTAGCATCCGTGGACAGACGGGCTTGCCAGACGGCGCCTTTGTGGCCGAGGAAAGTACCGATCCTGCGCTTGAGTTAGAGACATGATTTCACTGTTAGGAGAAATTCACGAACCAGTCACCCGTGATGCCGTCACGGAGCATGGGGTTGTTGTCTGTAAGAGGTCAGTCCCGGAGATTCTCTTTCGGGTCTAGAAGATGTCCAAGCATACCCTTGCAGGCGGACAGCAGATAGTACTGATCATCTTCCACGGTGGAAGAGAAGTTGATATGCGGCACGGGACGGGAATGTCCGTGGCATGTCAGGGGCACCACTTTCGGGATATCTGTAGCAGTTAGCCAGATTGATCTCCAGGCATAGATCACAGGGAGAGCAAGACAAACCAGAAGCCATTTTTAGATTCCAATTAGCAGAAAATCAACGATGAAAGATAATCTAAATGAGTTTGCACTGGACACGCGCAACCAATTCGGTTGACAGAGTTACAAAACAAAAAAGAAGTGGTATATGACGAGATAAGACAAGCAGGTCTTTCCAAGACACCAAACGAGCAGAGAATCCACGTAGTGATAGAAGTACAGAAGAAAATTCGTCGGTCTCGTCAAGTCATGAGCACAGAGCGGCGGGGTCGTATTCAGAACTGAAAGAGCGGGGGGTTAAATGGAAGACAGTTCGGTTGATGCCAACCTGGCTACAGCAATTCCGGAAATAAGACAGACCACCCGGCCGTTATGGAGGAAATGCAGATGAAGGGGAAACCCCGGCCCAGAAGAAGTAGGAGAGATGGAAGTTCTTTTTGATATTCGGTCAAATCACCGGCCGTGCCTTGCCTAGGCCGTTTGGAGTTAGGCTGCTTTGGGCCTAGTCGCGGCACACGTGAGCCTCGCTAGTCACGGGGGATCCACCGGTAATTATGACAGTACCGTACTGGATATGCTGCATTTTTGCTAGACAGACCTGTAATATACCATATTACCGTGACCCTATAGATCCATGTAAGAAGTTAAGAACAAGATGAATACTATATATCTACTTGATCTCTCCCAGGTGGCCCGCACCCTTTCCTCTGCTTCTCTCATCGCAACAAATCCATCCTCACAACGTCGACTTCTCCCACGTAATCTCCTTCCCCACCAGCCCCTCCACCGGCGGAATCAACGGCCTCAACGCCTGCCCATAGTCACCCGCATTCGGCGTCCTCAACAGCGTATGAATATGAAACTTCTTCGGCTCCTCATTGTTCAAAAACACGCCCGAATGATGATCAAACTCTACCAATACCACGGGGCTCTGAATCCGATAATAGAACGGATCCTGGTCCCCAAACCCTCCAATCCAGCAGAAATACGTCTCCGACTCGAACCGTCGAATCTGCTCAAGTTTCAACCGTCGAGACCGCTCCGGTAGATAGAGCAAATACTTTTCCAGGATGCCATAGAGGAGCATCTTCTGCGTCTCGCTGAGATCTGCCGCCGTGATGCCTTCGTACGGCACCTCGCGGTTGTCACGATACGCGCCGCACAGATGGCGCTGGTCATCCCGGTTCCAGCGCCCCGGGGGCATGGCCGGATCGTGCATCTGGGCATACACGCGCGCCTTGGTCTGTAGGTCGGGACTCAGGGACTGCATTAGCTGCAGACCGAGGTGCTCTTCGACTTGTAGAATGCGGGTGCCGGCGTGCGGCCCGGAGTCGATCTCATTGGGCTCGGCGCCCGTGAACCACGGCGAGGCGACGATCTGGCCCTGGTAGAGGAAGATGTTCAGACAGAGATGGTGGCCGTAGAACGACCAGCCCCAGGGCCGTGTGGTGGACGGGTTGCCGAAGAGCACGAAGTTGTAGGAGAATTCGTTCATGACGCGCGGCGACTCGACCAGTTCGCCGAGGAAATGGTTGATGCGCATCGCTTTGACGGCTTTATCGTAGCCTTCGGGGGATAGGGTGGTGCGGAGAACGGTCATTATGGCGTCGCGGACTGCGGGCGTCACTTCGTCTAGGCGCAGGCCTTTGGCGCTAAGGAGGAACTCCGGGTTCGACCAGGTGCGCCATTCGGGGGAGTCGATGTGATAGGAGAGGGATTGGCGCTGAGGTTGTGTGAGAGTACCAAAGAGGGAGTGTACGGAGTTGACGATGGCGTCGATGGGGACGTCCTCATCTTGGAGGGTGAAGAGACCGGGGCGGACAGTTCCTAGAGGTTTGTCAGTCAGTATGCTGAGGTCTTAGGTATACATAACAGAGTCGCTACGAAAGATAACCTACCGTCCGTCGTCACTCCCTTGAAAGGCTCCTGTAGTAGGTCCAACCAATGCATGTACAGCGCATGCAGCCATGGCGGATTCCGTCCCGTTTTGAAGTCATTCGCATACTCGTGCGCATCTTGCTTGCGCATTGCCTGGAATCGAGGCAGGCTCAGGTCTGGCAGATACTGCCTATATTCGCCCGAGGGCTTCTGCGAGTGAGATGAGCACATGGAGAGAGATGTGTGGTAGGGACTAGGATGGAGGGGAATTTACAGGTGAGGGGAGACAATGCGGAGAGGATGGATATTTAATGTTGGAGATGGAATGGTTCATAGTTAATCGTCGGATGTTCCCCGGCTGCCTCCTCCCCACTTTCGCCTTCCCCACGAACTGTGGAGAGCGGCAAACGACTTTTCCGACTGGACTTGAGCCGGCAGTGGGGAGGATTCGGTTTCTATACATGCCTTGCAGGAAATACATAACTGAATGAAGAGAGTCAATGGTCGAAAGATCTGGTATGTTCATATAGCGTCTATTTCTATTATATAGAGATAGATTCGTCTACCGGCTGATATCCCGCAACGCCCTGACTCGGGATTTCCGACCAGGTCCAGGAGAAGCCGACAAGTACTCCGTCATCTCAGTGGGAAAGAGTCCCATCCTCGTCCCACCCCAAATGCGCTCTGAGCAACCGCTACAGCCCCTCCGATCCCCCGAGATATCGAACGCTCCCCAGGATATGCTGGTCTGGACGCACCAAGATGGCCTGACCCTCCCTCAACCCCATCAGCCGTATCCACTCGTCGCCCTTTTCCCCGGGTTGGAGTTTAAAATCCACCCCATGAATGACCGTCTGGATTTGCAATCGGTCCCGGATTCCGGTGGGGAGCTGTGGAGGCTCTTCGATGGCCTGTTGCCAATATGCAGATGTCCCCTGATCCACCCACACCGTGAAACAGTCAAAGGGACAAAGGTCCAATGTTGAGAATCGTCGCGCCTGGACCTCGTTCGCCGATAGTTCAGGTACGTACGACGAGTCGATTGGGGGGAGGGTCAGCTTCTCGGGACGTAAATGCTGAATCCACGCGTGAGGGAGCCGAGCCCCAGGGACGCAAGCTGGATGATAAATCGATGCGTTCTCGGGGATCCGATGATCGCCATATATGTATCCCACATGCAGACCCAGGTTATCGAAATGCTCTCTCTGGCCTTCGATCCCACGGTTGATCTGTTAAATGATCTCCGGGTCTTCGATGTTGCGATAGAGATTCTGTCGTGCCACGATCGTGTCGGCATCCGTTGTTCCCAGTGTCTTCAATAGATTGAATATCTCCTTGCCGTTCCTGACGGTCTGTTCGGAGTTCACCACAGCCACTTGTCTGCATTCAAACTCATACGTATCGAGGAGCTTGCCACTTCCCCATCCATGATGCACGGCTTCCAGTTTATACGCCATATTATGCGCATCCCCCAAACCACTATCGAGTCCTAGTCCTCCAGTAGGAGGGAAGGAATGTGCGGCGTCTCCAACTCTAGTCGTAAATCATCAGCAACGTAAGTCAAACCATACCCTTGAAAGAAACTCACAAAAACACCCGCCCCATGCGATACTCCTTCGCCACCCTCATGCTCAGAACCCACGGCCTATAGCTCAACACATCATATTCGACCTTGGTGCCGATAGCCGCATCTACTGTCTTGCGACAGAGCGTCTTGTCCCAGGATTCCACGGGGTGTTTCTCCGTCTAGCACCAACAACCCAATTAGCCAGACTCAACCAACAATGGCCAACCAAACCATATATCAAAGTTACAGATCAAGATCTGGTTCCCCGAGAGATCATATCCGATGATAAAGCCCGCTACCTCGGGGTCCATGATCCAATGCAGCATGCCGACTCGGTCTCCGAGCACGGGGCGCAAGTCCGCATTAATGTAAATGGTCATCATGGTTTCGTCTATGGGGACGGGTTAGCATACGTATAGGTACCTGATCAGAAAGAGGAGACTAGCATGAATCCTCCCTTTCACATTCTATGCCCATCCAATTGCGAACAGCACTCTTGGCTCCGTCGCAGCCGACTAGATGCGTGCATTTCACCGAGTACTCTTGTCCCGCGGCGCGGTCTTCAGTCGTTGCGTGGACGTAGTCAGGGAACTAATAGCAATCGTAAATCAAAGCACATAATCACGGATATCGTATCAAATCAGGAGACGGACGAGAAAAACTCACCTCCTCTGCCCTCACAAACGAATGTCCCTTCCTCACCTCCACCTCCATCCGACAAACCATCTCCTCGAAATCCGGCTGCGGAATATTATGAATCATCTAGATACTACATACCACACCATCAGTCCAGCCCAGCCCTTTCTCCACAAAACCCAAAACCCCAAAACCAGAGAAGAATAAACAGAACCAAACTCACCTTCGGCGTAACATCCAAAACCCCCTTATCCATTCTCTCAAACGGCAACCTACCCACTAAACTCCCCACTTAAATCTGTGATGAAATTCACCCACATCGCGTCCTCCCGAGGAGACCCTAGCCCCCGGATCTCGTTCACGTCGAGCCCGAACTGGCGACAGAGCTCGAGAGAGAGAGGCGAGAGGGCGTGGGCTTTGGGAGCGGCGAGACGAGTCGGGTAGCGTTCTATGATGAGGGATTGGACTGTGTTTCCGCGGAGGTTGGAGGGGTTAGTGAACTAGATGGGTAGATGGTTCTAGGGGAGGGTATGAGGAGATGAGATGAGTTCGCGAGTTCAATTGATTATATGTGTATGGAGTAACTATTGTTATATGGCTTACCTCCGAGTTTGGCGAGCATGTAGGATAGGGGTAGACCGCAGGGTCCGGCTCCGATGATGAGAACCGGGATGGTGGTGGAGGGGTCTTCGGTGATGGACATGTTTGGGGGGGGGGGTTCGTCTAGTAGGTCTACTTCGTGCGAGGATAGATTGAAGGGGAATGGAATGAACTGGAAATGCTGATCACAGGATAGGATATGATTGCAGTCTTATAGCTTCATCGATAACTACTAACTGTCGGCTTCCCCACTCAAGTGGGAAACGCAAGCGAGGAAGAGAAGTGGGAAACCATCAGAGGGACAGAAGTATTCATAATCGCTATATAGTTCAAATAGCTCAAATATCACAATCATCGGACGGCATAGCGGAAGAAAGCACATTCTCTTCGCTAACATGCAAATAAAGTGAAAAGAATTATTAGTCAAATTGTCTCAGCAGAAATTTGTAAAATCACCAACGCCAAGTCAAATGCACCCAAAACTCCCATGATACGCCTACTATCGAAGCTCGAAACAAATTTGCTGCACCAACTCTTCTAGCTCGCCACCGCTAGCTGTGCAACTAGATCAGATGCCACGTCGAGGAATGGATACGGACTGGTGACTTCTTTTTCCTTGTTGCGGAATCGCTTGCTGATCGGGTGCCATTCGCCTCCTTCAGCACGGATCACGTTTTGGTATCCATCACACTTGAAGTCGACCATATAGTTATTTTCCTCCAATTGGTATAATTGGATATCCACAAACACCCAAACACCATAGGAAATTCCCCGGATCGCATGATATTGCGTGGTTGAGGATGGACCGGACACATTGCCGGGTTCCACGGGTGTCCAATTCTTTTCGTCCAGAGAGGATGGTCCGCTCAGGTTGAACCGACGGCGGAACTCTTCCAGGTCGCTTCGACTACTGTGCACGCTTCCCGTCGCGCCGGGCGCCCTCACTCCCTCTTTCAGAAGACGAGCCCGAATAAACCAGGGGTCCTTGGGAATGTAGTAGTCGGAGGGCAAATCGGGGTATTTGCTTTGCAGCGGCTTCGGTTTGTCGGCGGGCGGTTCCTGACCTCCGATTTGGGTACCTTCGTGCATTGTCAGGTTAGCTTAGGAAATACAAAGCAGGTTCGAGGCAGTCTGTATACTAACCAGATTCGTCGGGAACGATGTCCCAGATGCCCCCTTGGGCTGCGATGGCCCTGTAAAGGTATAGCATTGCCTCGTAGGGCTGGTTCCGCGATCGGATTCCAAACTGCCACTTCCGGGTCCGTCTGGGTTGATGAGGCGCACTGCGTCCCTCCGGGGGTTCAAACCGCAGCTTCTCGAGGTCGACGATACTACGCGAGTGGGGCTTCAGGGCTCGAGCCGTTGCCTCCTGTTCCTCTCGAGAGCTCCAGTCGTGGGCCTGGTTGGGGTCGTCGCCGTCCTTTGCCCTGGCTTGCGCCCGCTCTTCTAGCAGCCGATCCACCGCTTGGGCTCTCTCCTGCCGCTCCCGCTCCCGTTGCTCCATGAGCTGATCATGGACGTAGGGCAAACTGGTCGGCAAGATTCTGACATGGCTCAGGCGGGACTCCTCCGGGTCTTCGTGGTCATTTTGCTGCGACAGCTGGAAGTTCTGGCGTTGAGAACCGCTTCTGGTTCTTGTCGGAGGGGCGGTCGGTTGGGCTCCTTGCGGGTGAGCAGCCGGTGGTCTATCAGCTGCCGCTGCCGGGCGTTGAGTAATCTTCTCAGGGAGTGGAGCAGGCGACACGGCAGAGCCCATCATATGGTCATCCGTTGGCGCTGCTTTACGTTAGCTGCAGGCTATTTCAATAGTTCGATATTCAGGGGTGATCCAAAGCAGCTGTGATATACGGAGTAAACAAGCATACAGCCAGGCCAACACTTACAATTGGTTTGCATCATCTCGTTCTCCACGATGATGAAGAAGGCATCCTTGACAGCACTTGGCTCCGGATGCTTCAATGCTTCCTCGATGTCATCGCGAGCGTACCCCATGCTCCGTTCCAGCTTGGATATGGCCACTTGATTGATCTTGTGCTGCGCAGAGAGGGGCTTTCCCGGAGCCAATTTGCGCGGGTCGATCACCTTATTGGGGTCCACACCCGGTGCGATGAACTCCTCCGGCGGCGGTTGCAAGTATTTAGGGAGATCCTGGAGGAACCAGGGGTCCTGGCGAATCTCGGGAATGGTGATTCTATGGACCGGGTGCACCTGGAGCATCATCTTAATTAACCGAGCGGCCCCCTGTGAGATATAGGGAGGCATATGGAAGTTTCCCGCGGCAATTTTCTTGAAAAGTGCCGGAATATAGTCATCGTCGAAGGGCAGTCGTCCCACTAACAGCACGTAGAGAATGACACCACAGCTCCAAACGTCGACTTCGGGGCCCGCGTACAGCTTGCCGGAGATGACCTCGGGGGCGGCGTAATTCGGGCTTCCGCAACTGGTTTTCAGGAAATTTCCATCGGTCATGATGTTACTCAAACCGAAATCCGCGATCTTGACATTCTTCTCGCTATCGATAAGGAGATTCTCCGGTTTCAGGTCACGGTGGACGATCTTGTGACGATGGCAGTACTCCACGGCACAGATGATTTGCTGGAAGAACTTGCGAGCCTCGGTATCGTTGCATCGTCCCCTTTTCACCAGGTAGTCGAAAAGCTCACGTTCGGCATATTCTAAAACCATGACAATATCGGATTTCGTCGCGATGACGGTGTAGCTGCGAACCCCCAGGCAATCAGTTAGCGGTCGCTTCGCATTGGGTGCGGAAGAGAAACACGATAAGGGCATACGCACAGTTTGATGATATGGGGATGTCGTAGCAATTGCAGATACTGGATCTCGCGCTCGACTCGACCGACCATGTCCCTGGACAGCAGCTTGCGCCGGGAGATGATCTTCAAGGCCACCTGGCGGCCACTGGGCTGGTGAATGGCCAGTTTGACCTTACCAAACGAGCCCTCGCCGAGGATCTTGATGATCTGGTACTGATCGAGTCGCTGCATGTCTCTCGTGGTGGCCGGGGACTGAGTGGACGGGTCGGGGCCCTTCCCGGTCGGACGTGAGGGCGGAGCAGGCATGGCCATGGCGGAGTAATTCACGGCGGAGGTTGGAGGGGCGCCAGGAACTCGATCACGGCGGCGATCACGGTCGCGGTCGAAGGATGGGAGGGGGACGGAGAGATCTTCGTCATCGAAGGCGGCGGCCATCCTTTTGGGAGAACGAGAGCGAGAGCGAGCGAGCGAGAGAGGGAGAGAGGGCAACGTGACGTGATGGATTTTGGGCGGTGGAAATGAACGGCAGTCGGCTGTGGCACGGCGGATCCAGTTTAAGTCTGATGGAGGGAGGGGAGGGTGGAAATGGAAGTCCGCAAATAATCGCCCAAATGATCATATGAATCAACTGGCCAAATTGGCAAATAGTCGAACTTCCCCCACAAGCCGGTCAGGGCTGCTATGAAAAGTGGAGCGATGGAAGTTGCGTCTCTTCTTCTGTTGTTGTCGCGGGGCGGGAAGAAGAGGGAGGGGCTCAACCGCCGAAGTCGCTTTAGTCCTCTCTCTGTTCCTGGCCAGGTTCTTGCTATTGTTCTCTGTGATTATTACTGAGGTAGACCCTGAGTATCAACAACTACCATCTAACATCCATTGGATTTATTTTCTTTATTGATTGTACTCATGGTTTCTCTCCTAACTACAGCCGCGGCTTGGGATACATCATGGCCTGCCTTTCCACCACTTCAGAAACAGTATCCAGCAGTCGAGTCAAGTCATCTTCTAGCCGGCTAACATGGATATCCTGCAAATCGTTGTCCTTCTCCCAGGCTGCCAACACATTCACAAAATCGGTTATCCCTTTGCCCCAGGTGAGCGACCGGGTGGCTCGGATCTGCTCCTCCGCTGTCTGCGCCTGCATCGAGGCGCCTTCCAGTGTGGCATAACTCGGCGTGCAACCGGGGACGGCAGCGAAGGCGTAGGCGGTGCTCGCCACTGCCATGCTCCAGGCCTCCTCGGCTTCAAAGGTGGGCTCGATCACCAGTCTCCCCGAATCTGCCTGCTTCTGTGCGGCGGCGATGATCTGCGCCGCGTGAGTCGCTAGAATGTCGACCATATGCACAGCATTAACGGTGCTCCCGGCCTGCGTCACGCCGGCTAACACGAGATTGGGGAAGCCGCGGGTCAAGACCCCGTGGAGGGTGCCCGCGCCCTTCATCCATTTCTCATCCAGCGTGACGCCCCCTCGACCTGTGATATCAATCCGGGCGCGGAAGGACGGCGCTCCTGCGGCGGGAGACTCGAATCCAGTCGCCAAGATGACGACGTCAGCCTCGTACTCCTGCCCGTTGAACCGTACCCCCGTCGACGAGAATCCATCGATCCCCTTCCCGGCCGTGTCGACCAGGCGCACGTTCGGCTCGTTGAACGCCCCCAGGTACTCGTCGTGGAAGCATGGCCGCTTGCACCAGCCGGGATACCAGGGCTTGAGGCTCTCAGCGGTGGCCGAATCCGTAACCACGGCGTCCACCCGCCGGCGAATGCGCTCCTGTCGCGGCATGTCCAGTCGGTGCAACGACTCCACGTACTTACCTACCGTCGCCTCCGTCAGCGAGGCGGCCGCTGGTCCTCCGATCAACCCGGACAGCGAAGGGAAGTGCGTCCAACCGTCGTCCACCAGGTCCTTCGCCGGGGGATCGGGCACCCGGGACACGAACCCGGCCATGTTCATGCGACGCTCACTCTGCCACTCCTTTCGCCCTTGGGTCACATCTCGTCGCCACGTCTCGGGGTCCATGGCCCGTTGCCCGCGCGTGTCCACGGAGGATGGGGTGCGCTGGAACACAACCAGCTGTCCGGCCCACTTGGCCAGTTCCGGCATGACCTGGATGCCCGTGGCGCCCGTGCCGACGAGCGCGACCTTCTTCCCCTGCAAGCGACTAAGCCTCGGGTCCTCCGGTGAACCACCGGTGTAGTCGTAGTCCCAGCGGGAGGTATGAAAGACGTGGCCACGGTAAGTGTCGAGCCCGGGCAGGCGTGGCAGCTTGGGACGATTCAGGATTCCCGAGGCCAAAATAACCAGATATGAATGGAGCACGTAGCTTTCCTCCACTGTCTCCATGCCGACGAGACGCTTCCGGACTATCGTTGTCACCCACTCGGACTGGGCCTCGTCCCAGCGACTGTCCTTGACTGTGCAGCCGAATAATGGCCGCTTCTGCAGTCCGTACTTCTTCGCAATGAGCTCGGCGTATTGCCGCAGTTCCGGGCCGTAGGAGTATCGATGCTTCGGGATGAACTCAGTTTCGTCCAGCAGCGGCAGGTAGCACGAGCTTTCCACGTCGCACATGAGCCCTGGATACCGATTCCAGTACCATGTTCCGCCAAACCCCCAGGCGGAATCCACGAAGACGAAGTCTTCTGCCTTGAAGCCGGCCGTCTGGATGAGCCGCACGGCATAGAGCAGCGCTCCGTATCCGGCACCGGTAATCACTACTTTGACGTGGCCGCCATTCGCCACCGGAGCCGGCTGCGTGAGGTACAGGTTCTTGCACCGGTTCTCCTCGCCTCGAATCCAGGGGTCATCGGCGAATTGCTTGAATTTGTCCGTGAGAGCAATGTCGGCGTACTGTGCGATACCGTCAGGACGGAGACGCTTCTTGGATTCGGCGGCATATTTCTCCAACGTGGCCGCGAAGTCCGTTTCGGAGATGTCAGTGGATGCCATAGCGGAGAGATGTGTGGATGACCGTTTGTTGTGATTCTTCAAAGATGTGGACCGGTCTACTGTGCCATTTATGCCTTTACGATGTGATATGTCAAGGCGCGGCAGGAAAATATGGGTTACACCACCTACGCGGGTTACGTCGAAACCCCTACATTTCTATCACCAGAGCGGTTCGTACGCGGGGTAGGTTCCATACCCTAGTCGACCTACGTTCTCCTTTCTCGGTGGCAGTAGGTATCTCCAGGGTTCATGCATCTACAAGGCTTGGCGGTGGAGCAAGACCTTCCCTACTAGCTACCTGGGTGGCCATGTCCGTAATTTAAGCGCCCATCTGAGGGCGAGCATGAATCAGGCCATTTATTTTCTCAGCCAGTGGAGATCAGAGCATTCTAGGATCAATAAGGCACAGATTTCCGTCGGCTCAGTTCCGAGGGAAGATGTTATTTACAGCTGGACCAACGCCAATGCCAATTAACAGGTCTAAGATTCTAGGGTGAGGCTATCCAGCTTCCTACCAGATCCATGGGACCATGGATATCTGGTTGATAACTCGCTGTCTCTGTCTTGTATGTGGTCGGCTCGATCATTCCCGCATCATTGGCTTCAGCGAGGATCTCCAATTCCAGATTAGGGCTCACATTATTAACAGCGCCTTGTGCGTAACACTCATGTTGGCTGTTATACCATGCACAGCGCGACTCAATCCGCCATCAGGGTCCTCACAATTACTGTTCCCATCCGTTGTTTGGTCCACGAGCCTCAGATCTAGTCTCACGCGCTTCATACCGTTATACCATTGATTCACCTTCCTCCGAGTCGCCTCATTACGGAGTAGTAAGTATACAATGTAGTTTTCTATCCGAGGTACTTAACCAAAGTTTTCAGATTCAAGTTAGTTTCTTCAACAATGACAGTGTGTTTTCTATCTACTAATTTGGTCCATATTTGAGTTAAGTATAAGAAGGTAGTTCTCCCTAGGGCCCTGAGAAGTATAGAACTCCAACTCTATATATTTCCAGCATCTCGGGGTATAGGAAAACTATACTGACAAATGCCAGAATGGTATGGGAACACCTGTCAGCATTGGCACAGTATGTCAAACCTTTTATTAATACATCGAAAAATGATACATGATATACTAAGTAGTTCCGCTGAATGACTGCGTGGACACAGCAAACACCTGAAGTCTTGGCATGTCAGGCGGAAGCTGCCTTAAAGCTGTGGCATCCAACCCGTTCCCGCTTCCTTTCCCCGCATTCGCCCGTGTTCATCAGGAATTAAGCAACAAGAATTAAGAAGACAACTCGCTGGTGCACCGAAATCCCCGACACGCGCAAGGGTTCGACATGACGTCCGAGCCCACAGAGGAATCGATCTCCAACTTTGTGAACTTCACCAGCGCTCCTCGGGAACAAGCTGTCAACTTCCTGAAAGTTAGCAAGAACTGACCTGATCAACTTCCACCCTTGCTTCCCAGCTGACCTGCATCGCGACAGGCTAATGACCTCAACCTCCATAAAGCTATCAATGCTTACTTCGAAGATCCCACGGGTCCTCAGATAGAGGTGAGACAGCCTTTGATTGCGCTGACCTCAGAATGATTTCAATCGCTAACCTGCGAGCTTGCTTCTCTAGGCCCCCATTCCCCAAAATGATGCGAACGCTCCATGTATGTCCATGTCTTTATCGGTTACCATAATTAGCGGCTAGTTTGACCAGCAGAATTCTCCTCCGCAGCGTTTCAAATCGAGCATCCCGACTCGGTCCTCGGTTCTGCAGCCTTTCCTCCTTCGCGACCTCCGTCGAGTTTGAATTTACGAAACCAAGCACAAATGCCGAGCCCGAATCAACCCAACACGACTCCGTCGCAGGAGATACAAGGTGGCAAACACACTTCTCCCGGAGAGACCCTGACGTTTTGCTGACCACGTTCTCGACCCCGAGCAGACCCCAATAAAGGCTTATCGCTGGCAGAGCAGGAGGAACGTCAACTGCAACAGGCGGTGGCTATGTCATTGAACCAGAATCTCGGGAACCAAGAGTCTGGCGTCACAAGTGCTAAGCCGGCGAATTTCGGACGCGCGACGCGAGACCACTACGACGAAGGCGCTTGGGCCATGACTCTGTTCAATTCCAGCGCTCGCGAGATCATCATCAGCCCGGACCCTGCGGACCGCAAGAGGGTGGGAGACGAGCCGGCCTTCCTTCGCCCCACTCAAGACAATTTATACCTGGGAGGACTGTTGACCATCCTCCATTCGATCCCGCTTGCGAGAGAGGCGCTTCTGCTCAGAAGCCAGGTGCTATCCGACTATGGCCACGACCCGCAGTGGTGGAATGGACAGCCCATTAGCCTTCCCAAGATTGTGACAATGCAAGACGTCGAGGAGGGCAACGCCGATTGGGATGACATCATCCACGAGACCCAAAGACTAGTTGCTCTTCTAGACACCACGAACAGATCCTTTGGTAGTGCCGACGCGCTCGAAAGCCTGAAGTGCATGTCCACAAATGGCTCCGAAGGCAGTGTCAGCCGATTTTTGGAAACATGGCAGGAGGCAGCTGTTCGAGCGGATCCGGGAAACCAGCTGGCAACCATATTTTCGTCGAGCGCATACAAGCGGCCTTTGTCGGAATACGATACCCCGATCCAGAAGGACTTTTACACGATCGACCCGTTTGTGGATCCTGAGCATGGCCAGACGCTATACGATGTACTGGACCGTACCGTGTGGTCGGATAGACCCGGCGAATCGCTCGACGACGTATGGTTGGAGCATGTCGCTGAAGTTTTGACCATCAAACTAGAAAGCAGCGATTCGTCGAAGCATGTTGACGTGAAGATTCCTCCGGTATTCTACCCCGATCGATATCTCGCTAGCTGCAGGGACATTGCGCGGGATTTCCGTTTGCAGCGCTTGCAGGTGTTCGACGAGATTTACAAGCTAGAACGTCTAGCCCACCGATTCTCCGTCTCGAAGTCCGTCGCTCACCGAGGCATGAACTACAAGGAGGTTTTGGAAAAAGCCGCGATCGCTGCACCTATTGCTATACCACAGACACTTGCCAATGGGACCAGCGAGACCCCTGAATTCGCCAAACCCGAGGCGGAACGCCTGGCCGAGGAGCTGCGCGGAATTTCGCGCAAGATTGAAGACAAGCTAAAAGGTAGCGTTCTCAAAATCATTGACAATATGTTTCCATACTAATGATAAACGGCTTCAGAGTTGGAATCCCGGAAGGAAGAAGCCTTGGCGACCCTCCGCAGCTACTCTAAAATCCTTACGGAGCCATCGGCTTCCCCCGGCGAACCGCCAAATCATAGATACACATTACGAGGAGTCTGCACCGAGCCACATGTGACATATGTGCTTCGACGCCAGGACACGGGAGCATCGGAGGAGTCCGAGACGGATAGCGAGTGGCAGTGGTGGCGGATAAGCTTCTCCATCGAGGATGCAAAAGCTCGACGGGCGGAGTCGAATGCAGGAGGTAACGCGACGTCGAATAATGCCGATGTGGTGGGATACACTGCGCGCAAAGTCCGAGAAATCGAGGTTCTCAAGGCGGCGCGTGAGGAATCGAAGACGGTGCTTCTGGTATATGCCCAGGACAGCGCCCTGAACGTGCAGAACGAGCCGCCACCGCCTCCACTCCAGGTAAGTCTCATCTGTCTTGAAGCAAGTTTGTCATCGCAGCCTGACCATGTTCCAGGAATTCGTGAAAAACGATAACAAAGCCTTCGACACCGAGTTCCAAGAAGCGGGAGCCACGGAGATTATGGAAGGAGATCAGGTCCCGGATTCCACTGCGGGTCCTAATCCGCCAGATCGTATGCAGACCGACGATACTTCTCAGGCTCCTGTCAACGTTTTCGATTATCAGGTCAGCGGCTTCGATCGCGAGACGGGGCCGGGACAGGAGATGCAGGAAAGGGGAGGACGCCCTCTGCTCAGTCGCAGCAACACCGCAGGACTGGCGCAACCCGCGCCACATGCGGAAGCCGAATGAATGGGACGAGACCAACGAAGTCGAAGTCGCTCCATAAGTAGGGTGTTATCAATAGGGAAGTTATACTTCTCATATAATATAATGGCTTTCTCCCATGTACATAATCGCATAATGATCATATACCACCCGGAAATGAGGATGCTGTAAGTGGTGCGATCACCATGGAGTAGTTGGCTTGTAGTTTATAGTTGGTGTACATAGTTCGGCTCCCAACAAATGTTTGTATGTCCTGTTTGCACTGGAGTCCCCGACCGCCTCATCGGAGCTCCCAGCAGTACTCCGCACAAGCACTACAAGACACAACTACACCACAACTCATACAAACTCAACAATGACTCTCGAAAACGATGCCGTGGCAGGCGCAACCATTGAACTCCTTGAATCGCGTCTCCGTCGACTCACCTACCTCCTGACCGGCGACGCCAACTGGACCGGCATCCCCACGGCGCCCGCCAAACCGGCGTCTCTGGAAGAGAGCATCTCGCGTCGTCTCCTCCACCTCGAACGAGACCTAGAACGACTCAGCAGGAATAACCCCGCCGTGCGGGATGTTCTTGTTCTTCGTATGGCATACCCTCTCTCCTTTACTGTCCAAATCTCCCAATCCCATTCAACTTCAATCCTATCCCACCCCAAACACTCAAACTCAAATTACCAACTATCCCCATCCAAGGAAAGACCAACTAACTGTCCCACCAACGCAAATCGCAAAACAACAGACGACCGCTTCCCCGACCTCTTCCACGCGACCCCCCCACAAACCCTCCCGGAGAACCTAACAACGCAAAACCTTGCCTCGATCGTCCTTTCCTACGCCTCCGCCTTCCCCGAGACCTCGTCACGATTAACCTCCCTCAACGACCTCCCGATCCCCGACGCCCAGGCCTCGGCGTCCCTCATCGAGCTCTCGCCGCGCCTGGCTACGTTGGCGCAGACGCAGGAAGCCCAGGCGTTAGAGATCTCGGAGCTACGGGTGCGGACGGCGCGGGCGCTGCAGCGCTGGTATGAGATTGCGTTGGTCGGGGGCGGAGAGTGCTGGGCTGAGTGGGAGGGGAGATTGGAGGATGTGGAGAGGGAGGTTAGGAGGGAGGAGGTGGTGAGGGAGAGGAGGGCGAAAGAGTTATGATAAGACTTGGTTGGATATTAGAGAAGATGGGGGGATTTGGGTTGTGTTTGTTTGATTTCCAATATGATGATACCTCTTTTTGTTCTGTTTGAATTGTTTTGCTTGTTGGGATGTTGTTTTTGCTATTTCTGCGATGCATTCGTATTAATATTCATATGCATCTGGAGGGATGGGATTGCATGGATTTGCAGGGAATGGTGTACAGATGGATGACTGTGATATATGCTGGTAGCCGGGGGAGGGCGCGTATACAATCACAATTGGACTGTAGGATTACCTTCGGTGCCTGAATCCTACTTACCTAGCGAGGGATAAGACATTTGCATACTTCATATATGGATGTAAGTAAAGAGATGACTGCAGCAAGGGAAAGAATGTTGCTTAATCATAAGAGAAGACTCAAGGTACACAGTATGTACGGTGTACTTCTTGTTCTACTGAATATGCCGTACGGCAAATTTCCAGAATCCAGACTCACAAAGTGGAGATGGGGAGGGGGGCCGAAAAAAGGAACCCCCCTCACATTCCAACTCCATGCGACATTAATGCATCTCGTGTAATCAAATTATCATCCGGACCCAATCTACGGTGTAGGAGCAGGAACCGATGAAAGAATAGAAAAACAAAAAGATGAACACTTTCCGAAACGTGATGCGCGAACACGGGTACCTTACAAAGGCCAACATTTCAGGGCCAGATGCCCAGATCCGATCAACCCTTGCGTTGTTGAGAAAAGTTAAACGCTCCCGAAATTGGCCCAGGACCCGTTGATCGACTGGGTCTGGCGTCTAAACCACCAGAAGAAAAACGGGCGACATGTTTCAGACCTTCAGCCTCTGTTTCGATTGACTGAAAAAGTCGAACATGACAAGATGTGGATGGAGCCTGGATCGAACAATCTCGATGTGTCCGATTTAATCAGGAGGAAAGGACGATTGGTCTAGAGAGAAGCCATTCTATGCCAATTTCTACCGGGAAATTGAGACTGGTTTGCAATCCGAGAGTTCTAGACAAGTGGTTTTTGCTCCGGTGCGTCAGCGTCTGCACGTTTGCCCTTGCACCGAGCCCCAAAACAACCGCCGACCTGAGGCATTGATTGGATGTGAGGTCTGCAATCTGGAGTTCTGTAAAATGACTGACGAGTGTTCCTCCCTCTTCTCTCCAATCATTTCAGCCCTTGCCGTGGAGTCCAAATCAGCCTTGTAAGAATTTGGTTCCCCGAAGCACGGGAGACACGGAGTAGGGATTGAACAGATGCCAAGATCCATCCTTATTACCGTGGAATTGGATTTAATTTCACACGCCCCCGAAGTGATAACAAGGACCAGGGTTTAAATTTAGGGGTATTCAATGTTAACAGAAATAAATGCTTATTCTGGCTATCTTTTGCAGGCGAATAATATAAGAAGAAACACTCTGTCAGTATAAATAGACTGATAGAGTAAAACTGATCTATAAAATAGGCCAAAGTAAATAAATACACTGTGTTTAAGCTTAACAACACTGGTCCTAACTTATAGTCTAGTGTCGGTTTTGATGTCACAACCCTACCCTAACACCCAGGATAAATTATTGAGGTAGGCAGTCTAGTGAGTCTATCCAACTCAATAATAATCCAAGCCTATCATACATAAATTTCGCAATAGCCGCTAAACTACTCAGTATGGTTTGTTCTCTTGGAATGGTGCCTGGCTAACGAGTGGACCGGCCAGGGCGAAGCCACGGACTGGGAGTTGTGCCACAATTTCTTTCTCCCTTCTCCCTTCTCTTCTCCTCCTCTCAGCCTCAGGTCTCGGCCAGGAAGTGGACACCTCCGAATGCGAAGGCAAATGAGCCAAACCCACTTGGTCTAGCGTGAGACCAATCATGGCCGACGGCGCAGTGAAGTTGCGTGTGCGCCGAGTCGTTCCGTTGAAAGCGGAGAAGGGGAGGATCCAGCCAGGGCAATTTCAGCATTAGTCTGAGCCATTGAGGTTGAATATTAATAGAAATGAAGCGTCGAATAACCGATCTATCGTCTGTCATTTCCATGGATTCCCCTTTACTCCCTCCGTACTCCGTAGGTGACCAAGATCGTAAGCCAGTCAAGCGAGGATAAAATCCAATTTCCATCAACGGCAGATAAGCATCGGGGTCAAATCCACGGTTCATCGGATGGGCACTATTGGGACCAATTAATTGAATTCATAAATGAAAATTGTCAGAGTAGGAGTAAGACACAATTTCTCACCCACCCACGGGCGCACCTTCGATACGAGCGGATTGTTCTCGATCCTCCGGGGCCAATTCAGACCGTCTGTGTGTTTTGCGGCACGGGTTCGCGTGGCCCACCGACCGTGAAACCCGCCAACTCTCTTCGCTCTTCTGCCTGGTCACTGACTTTCCCCCCCCTTTCCCGTCTCGTTTCGTTTGGGGCTTCATCCGTTCATTCCTCCTCCCTCATCTCGCCTTTCTCTCTCTCTCTCTCTCTCTCTCTCTCTCTCTCTCTCCCTCAATCGGTTTTCATCCCATCGGCTTGTTCACTCGTTTCCCCTCATTTGCTTCTTCGTCGCATTGATTCGACCTTCCCTTTCTTTCCCTCTTTTCACCTCCCCACCACGTTACTAACGTTTCATACCTTAACTACCTATCCTTCCTTCTCCAGCCAGGCGCTGTTGTTTATTCGTGCCTCTTTCTGCAAGGGGCCCTTTTTATTTTTCTTATTTTTTTTTAATTTTTTTTTATCTTTTCGCTTTCCCTAAACTACCTGCCAACCTCTCGAGGGACTCGCTCGTTTTAGTCCCTTTGCTTCGGTGTCTCAATCTATATCATCTCCGCCTTGGATTTATTGCATTGGTTTTTATTTTAAACTTCACCAGCCCCGTCGTCTTACATTCGCTTCGGTTGTCTCAAGGTACGATCTTGCATCGCTGCATCCTGCCTTCGCCCTGCTTTTGTTCGTTATTATTATAATTTTCCTGTGTCTGCAGGCCGTCGTTACGTGTTGTTGTCTCACGGATCCACCATGCCTTGCCATTCCTCCGCCGATCGTCATGTTTCTTTGTCCATCGCGTCCTCGATCTCTCCCAACGCTCGACTGACTGTTTAGTAGTTCGATCTTCTGGATATATTCACGGCTTGATCTCTACCGTCATCTCCAGCAATCGATTCTTAGACCGGAATTTTGTTGGATCGGGCTTTTCTTCGGTGACGAAAGGAGGAAACCACAGCAGACCGGGAACGTGTCGGCTTACCGTGCGTGCATGATCATTTCATCCGTATAGGCGAAGCGGTATAGAAACAGCAAACACTCGCGCCCTGCCACCCATATATATTCCAGCGCCTTCCTGCTCAAACAACCTTCATGGTGGAATACTCCACATATTCACCGTCTTTACATAAACCAACCCCATATTCGGAGCCCACTCGAAGGATGGCCCAGTTCAGGCCCAGCAACATCCTTGGCGACCCGTTCGCGCTCGCCACCGTCTCGATCTCGATCGTATGTATTCTCACGGCCCTCAACGGATAATTTCGAATCTCTCGACTAACCTCGCTCCTGTGTTTAGCTCGCATGGCTCATCGCATTCATCTCGTCCATCATCGCTGATATCAATGGCAAATACCCGACATATTCGTGGTGGGCCGTTGCCTATATGTTCTGCTGCATCGTTGGGTTGACGGCCGTCTTTGGCACGGATACCGGCCTGACGTATGGCGTTGCGGTATGACCTGAGTTTCCATTGACAATGATGATTTCTATGTTCTGAACGCTGATCGATTGTAGGTTGTCGGGTATCTTTCGGCTGGTCTTGTGATCACGACGCTGTCCGTCAATTCGTTAGTATACGAAGATAGCTCTTCGTCGCAAGCCGCAGGTGCTGGCTTTATTTTGCTTTCCATGGTCCTGGTAAGTCGAAGACCTCGTTGATTGATTTTAGCACGGGGCTATGTTTCTGACCACATGTAGATTGTCTGGATCTTTTACTTCGGGTCAACACCCCAAGCGACTCACCGAGGATTCATCGATTCGTTCGCCCTCCACAAGGAACAAGGCACCAGCAGACCCATGTCTTCCGCCTTCGGTGCTCGCCCTGAGACGACTTCTAGCCAGCCTCCGCAAATGTATACGTCCGCCCAACTTAACGGTTTCGAAACTTCGTCACCCGTTTCGGGATACCCCGGCGGCGCTCCCGGCTCAGAAAACCGCAGTCCCTCGCAGGCTCGCTTCGGCAACCCGTCCAACACCAACCTCCCTCAGAATGGTAGCGGGGACGTTGCGGGCGAGGTTCCTCAACCGACGGAATACCCATATCGCGCCAAGGCAATCTACTCGTACGACGCCAACCCGGAGGATGCCAACGAGATTAGCTTCACGAAGCATGAGATTCTGGAGGTGTCGGACGTGAGCGGGCGATGGTGGCAGGCCAGAAAATCCACAGGAGAGGCGGGTATCGCCCCATCGAACTACCTGATCCTTCTGTAATCAAGTTGAGGGCGAATCCTGCATCAAGTGTTCTTTTCTTTGTTTTCTGGTCTGTCACGGTCCTCGCTAGTCTTTTCATTTTTTGCCGCGAAGAAAAATTTATCTTTGATACCCTTCGAGTAGTATCACTCGGCGCGAGTCTGGTTTGCGAAATCACGTTACGTCTTGATGTTTTTTTTTTTTATACTTCATTCTGGCCTTTTGTCTGTTATCTTCATGTATCCACCAGCATTCCTTCTGATCTATTTCTTTCATCTTCGAAGAATATGTGTTCATCTGATTGGTCCATTTATCTATGGTTACTGTTATTGTTACTGTCCTTGTCAATGAGTGGGCAATTGCATACTGGTATGTCGATTCTATTTGAAATCTTGAGATGCGTACTCCGTAGTGAGGGCGAAAAGATGTCCTCGGAGAGATTCCCTGGGCACGTGTCGATGAAACCAGAGTAGAAACAGCCCAAAAAAGCTTGTCGGATTGGGTTTTGCCAAGGCTGCGCAACCCCCGACTCTTCTCTCTTCTCTCGTCTTGATCCGCGCATTCCCTGTCGCATGCAGTCCCTTCATTTGACAGATCGATCTGATCTAGAGTGGAGATGCGCACGATCTTCGGCATCGGTGTCAGACCATCGGTTTCGCTTGATTGCATAGTTCGCAGTTCGGACCCATGAGATCGGCTCGTCCGACGACCCTCCCCGACTGCGGTCGGCATCTGGAATAACTCTGTCACCTCACCCGAGTGAAAGAGCCTCTACTTATATTTCTACCGTGAGGATAATTAAGGCTGGCGAGCAGGTTTGTCGTCGGTGGCAACGGATTTCCGGTCATCCAGATCCCTATCTCCAGTGACTAGATCCACAGTTGCAACCTAAACCTTACTCCATGACCCGTTCACCACCCGAATTAACAACCCGTTCTCATCTTTGAAATTTCTTCAACGTTATATCCCCCCGTCGCTATCGATTATCGAGCTTCCCAAATGACTATTCACCATGACCGAGGCAGGCAACGTGACGGTGGCCTCGAATGTGTTCGGCACCATCGGGACCGTACTATGGTGCATCCAACTGATCCCGCAGATCTGGCATAACTGGTCGCGGAAGAGGACCGACGGGTTGCCTCCGTTGATGATGCTGCTGTGGGCTTGCTGTACGTGCTGTCTAGTCGCATTTGTCGCGTGTCTATCATGCCGGGACTGACTGACCGAGGGGAATCATGCTAGGTGCTGTCCCGATGGGAGCGTATCTTGTTCTTCAGCAGGTCAATCTTCCACTTCAAATCCAGCCGCAGATCTTCGGTATCTTCTCCTTGGTCAGCTGGGGGCAGATCCTGTATTATAACCAGTATGTCGGCACCAGAAATCTGTCGAGGCTAGTGATGGTGTCGGGCTTCTATTTGACATGTTCTGACTTCTGATGCAGTGGATTTACTCGTACCAAAGCGGTATCGCTAGTCGTCGGCTTGACGGTTCTCTTTGGAGTACTTGAGATGTTGTTGGTCCTCATTCTAAGGGTATTCATCTGATCTTCTCTTTCTGCGCGACTATTTGCGATGGGGGCCTCGCTGACGATGTCTGCAGATTCCTGACCGTCAGGGCATTTCCTGGCCTAACATCTTAGTTGGGGTTGTCGCCACGATACTCTTAGCATCCGGGCTGTTGCCCCCGTATCTTGAACTGTGGAAGAGAGATGGAAGGGTGATTGGGATAAGTGAGTAATCTGCAAGAGGTATGGATTCGAGCGATATGGCTGATGTCGTCTTAGACTGGGTGTTTCTATCAATGGATATCCTAGGAGGGGTATTCTCTCTGCTGGCACTGGGTAGGTTTATATTCTCCCGGTGGGTTGATACATAGTGCCGGACTAACAGGAGCGTAGCTGCTCAGGGAACATTTGATGTTCTGGGAGGCATCATGTACATTCTCGTGTAAGTGAACCCGACCCGCTACGGTCGACCGCTGCTAAGGATGGACAGGGTGGTTCTGGAAATGGGGATCTATGCAAGCCATCTCATCTGGCGCATTCGATATCGCCAGCTGCGTCACGAAGCGAAAGCGTGTGGGAAAAGTATCGACGAGATGTTGGACGCGAGGAATGGCGGCGAAGAGAGTGAGCATCTGATCGACGGATTGTTGGATTAGGGGGGTGAATGTATAGAATAAGGAACCCCCGTGGCTATCCAGCTGTCCAGTTATCTTTCTATCTTTCTATCTATATATAGGATATTATGATATACATGAGCTATACAATTACATTCACGGTTGCTGCGAGTCAAAACGGCCCGATGCAGGCCGGCTACAGACTAGAAAAACGGTCCAAGCGTTGGTCTTTGCACCGGCTTTCGGGGAGAAGTCGATTCTAATAATAATCGTATTCATTTAATGACTTGATTAAAACATTCCAAATGGTCTGGAATCCCTTTTCCCTCTCATCTTAGCCGGGAGATCAACAGGGAGCTTTAACTAAATCCAAGTTGTCGGCAAAGTCACTGACCTCTTGCATCTTCTTCTTCCCCTCTTTCTTTCCTTTCCTCCCTCATTCTTTCTCTTTCTCTTTCTTCTTCTTCTCTTTCCCTCCCTCACTGGTTTGAATTTTCCCTCTTTCAATCCTTCTTCACCTACTTCATTCTCAATCCTCCTTCTCGTCCGGACGAGGGGTCTGGTCCATCCATCCCGGGGAGTTTCCTCCCAGCGATGCCCTCAGCGGTGGTTCCCCTTGTGCATGGCGTGCAAGTGAGGATGAAGAGGTGACAACGCATTCTCTCCTTTAATTGCCTGGTAAATTTTCCTTCTTTCTTTAGGCTCCTATTTATGTGACTGCCCTTCTCTTCTAGTATTTAATTTTTTTTTACTTATTTGTGATTTTTTTGAATTGACCTTAGTCTTGTCCTGTCTTGTTCTTTTTTATTTTGCTTTCTTACCCTTTCCTTGCTTTTTGTTTCTCGTGTGTTTTCATAGAGAGCGATGATGGCTACCAGCATGGCCCAGCATCCGTCGTTTTGGGTGCGAATCAAACAGCGACTGCGGCGATCAACTTCGCTGCCACCGGCCAAACCCAACCTTCATCCCGACCCCAACAACAGTCAGAATCACAACGCCCTCCACCACACCTACTCAACGGCCTCGCATCCTCTTTCGTCCGCCGCCGTTTCCGCGACCTCCGTTCCCCTGGTCTCTCGCAAAAACCCCTCCCATCGCGTCGTGCCTTCGTCGTCTCCACAGCACAGCCGGTTTTCTTCGGTTGATGACGGGTCGGCCACGAAAACTCCTCAGCTGAAGGAAGAGAAAACACCTCCAGCGTCCCCGATAGGAGATCCGCCCCGAGCGCAGTCGCGGCCCAATTCCCCGGACGCTGCAGCATCTACGCACGAGGAGCCGCGGGACACGAACGTTGTCGCAACTGAATCCGATCGCCGCCCTTCCGAGCTGGTCGATTCCCCACCGCCGTCCTCTGGGTCAACCGAGCTGCCAACTTCGCTCGCCGTAGTCCCTCCGCCGACGTCAAGTCTTCTCAAACCTACACCCTACGAGCCTACCTCTCCTCGAGGACGGGAGCAGCCCGCGCCCACGGTCGGTGAACCCCTATTCACGAACCCCTTGTCGGAGAACCCTTCTGCTCCGATCCAGCTTCAACCCCTCCCCTCGCCTTCCGTCTCGTTTTCCAAGCGTCCCAGTCTCGGAATACGCCGTCAATCGCTGCTGGCCGCTTCCAATCAACAGTGGATCAGTTCGTTGCTCGAACCCGGCGCGTCGTCCGAGTCCGGTCCCTCAACGAGTAGTCAACGCGTTGCTGCTGCCGCCGCCACTATGATTCCTCGCAAGATTTGGGTCAAACGACCGGGGGGCTCGGCCACCTTGGTGCCCACCACGGTAGATGCCCTGGTGGACGAGGTCCGCGACCAAGTGATCATGAAATATGCCAACTCCCTAGGGAAGACTTTCGACGCGCCCGATATTACCATCCGCATCGTGCCTCGCGAGGGCGCTAATAAGCAGGCCACCCCCGATCGCATACTGAGTCCCGAAGAATCGCTGGTAACGGTGGTGGATGCTTATTTCCCTGGCGGACAAACGGTTGAGGAGGCCTTGGTCATCGATATGCCGCAGCGTCGGACGCCGAAACCGTCGCCTCGTCACAATATATACTATCACCATTCCGAACCGGGCGAGCATGGCGAATACTTCCCCCTCATGCCCGTCAACGCGAGCGTTCCGACCCCTCCCACCCATCCCAACAACTCCACCACCAGCGTGAACGCTCACCAAGCGCCGGCTATATCCATTATCAACACCGGAAAGCCCCCTCTGCTGCCGTCGCCGGGCAGCCGGGGCAGCCGCCATCCACGTCGGCCGCCGCTTACTCGGCATACCACGAACTCACCCACGATGCTGGGCTCGGCATCGGGTGTCAAAGGTTTGTACCTGTTTCATACAGTCCAGTCTTTTATATTATACCCTCTTGCTAACCAACCGCAGAGTCCGCAGCTACGCCGTCCTCTCAGCCGGCACCCCCAGTGCCTACCCCACCTGGTCCTCCCCCTCCCGAATCACCTCAGAATAAGGTTCTCACGCCACCCGCGCGGGTGGCTTCACCACGGCCTCGTCCATCGTCGAAGCCGAAGAAGAGCAACTCGCAGTCGTTGAGTGCGGCATTTGGCGGCCTCATCGAGGGCACGGTGCCGCCTATCAACGTGCTCATCGTTGAGGATAATGTGATCAACCAGAGGCTGCTGGAGGCCTTTATGAAGCGTCTTTCCGTGCGCTGGAAATGCGCCGCAAACGGTCAGGAAGCTGTACAGAAGTGGCAGCAAGGCGGGTTTCATCTTGTTCTGATGGATATCCAGTTGCCCGTCATGAACGGATTGGACGCGACGAAGGAGATTCGACGACTGGAGCGGTTGAATGGCATTGGTGTTTTCCCCAAAACGGCGTCGGGGCGGTCGAGTGCCGCCAGCGCCAATGCGACTTCACCGGCGGAGCGAGACCCCAGTATGGCAGATCCCTTGAAGGAGGAAGATGCGCTGCAAGATCTGTCGCTTTTCAAGAGTCCCGTCATTATTGTCGCTCTGACGGCAAGCAGCTTGCAAAGTGATCGTCATGAGGCGCTGGCCGCCGGCTGCAATGACTTCTTGACCAAGGTGTGTACCCGATTTCTTGACTGTTTCCCCTGTTCGTGTCTAACTCTTCGCAGCCCGTCCGCTTTGAATGGTTGGAGCAAAAAGTCACCGAATGGGGCTGCATGCAAGCCCTGATCGATTTCGAAGGTTGGCGCAAATGGCGAGGGTTCGTCGACGATACGCAAGCGCCATCGCCTGTGTCTGATGGGCCTCGAAGTCCCATGCAGATCGGAACGGAGGGCGGATCAAAAAAGCCCTCGGCCGCGATGCCTCAGACTCCATCCCCTGCACCTGGCAGCGCTAAACCAAACGGTACCAGCGAGGCTAAGCCGACATCAACCGATACAGAACGAGACGATTCTTCGGGGATTGGCAGTTCAGAGATCCCGGATTCCCCTGCCAGTCCACCCGCGTCCGCAGGGCCAGTCGATGAGCCGACTGACAGTCCGGACGTATGATACTTTCTTTGAACCGTTCATTTTCTTGATCACTTTCGTGAGCATTTTGCATTTACCACGTCATTCTCTTGAAACTTTTTTTTCTTTTTATATTCTCTTTTTCTGACTTTATTGCCGCAATTTTTTCAAACCCCATGCATATCATTGAGGACAGTTTGGTCTTGGAAACCAAAAGGGATTCCTCAGACTGTTCCCGCTCTTTGTGTCTTCTATGGATACCCAGCATAGCTTTTTTTATGTCCCTTTTCTTTTTTTTCCCCCCGTCTTTTTCTTTTCTTATCTTTTATTATATCTTACATTTTTCTTTTCTTTTCTTCACTGGCCATTTATCTTTCATCTTCATTCCCCCCCCTCCCTCATCTCGTTTCGTTCCGGTGTTGGATGGCCCTCTTTTCCTTTTCTTGATTTCTACTTCCTCTATAATTATACATAGCATTCTAGGCAAGGAATACAGAACAAAGTGCTATTTATTGTTTCCTTTTCAGTTGGACATGCTCACGAAAACGAACGAGAATGTCTGTCAATGCTTTTTCTCTTTTCTGTTTGATTTATTGGTTGTATCTGTTATTCCCTGTTTTATATGTATATCTAGTGCCTTATGTTATTTTTCAATGCTATTATTGTTACTATTATCATTATTATTATCGCTGTACTGTCTATTTCTTTCATTTACTGTTTATTTGTACGTTATGTCATTCATCTCATCTGGTTATGGATATATACATCCGTATAATGTACATAATAAGTATCTACTACACATTCATGGATAGAATGGAATTTCTACTTAGTTGGCATACTGGGTATACAAGACACTGTACTTAAACTTCTGTGCCATCATATAGAGATAACTGAATTTTGAAACAAAGTTCAATACAGGACTGGTAAGTCCGTCAGTCCTATCTGACTCGGTAGTTATGGTTTTGAATCTCCATTATCTGCTCCATGTGCATGCAGAACGCAGAGCGAGTAATTATATCAAGACGTCTAGAACAGCGACAATGAGGCTTCGATACAGCCTAGATAAATACGGTAGAAACTGTGGAACGATGATATTGGTTTGATATCGGTGGTTGATATAGAATGGTAGTAGGGCATATGGGTGATGAGCATCCCAGCCCCTGTCAAAATAGTTAAGATAGATGGATAGATACAAATACAAGATAAAGAAGCCGACGCTGACTGATTGACCCATTCGTCACATGTCTGTACAGTGGGGAAAGAAAGTGAGAGATAAAAAAAAACAGGATACAAGTACATATGTAGGTAAGGGGATGGTTGATGGGATATGATAGACCTTTCAAACGATCAGATCACATTATGAGCGTAAAAGTACAGTCGTTGAAAAGGTGAAGAATTGCGAGATACGGAGAGATAGGAGGTTGGTTCCTCTCTAAACATCCACGCTGGTGGGAATCTTAATCTGGCCCTTCTTACGCTCGTAGCTGGGGACACCGTATCTCCGGCCAGGGGCGTCATAGCCACGACCATCGGCACCGGTGGTTTCCTTGCTGACGACGACGTCCTTGAAGCGGAACTCAAAGCGCGACGATTCGGGTCGGACCTTGTGGACCTGGCCCTGTTTGCGGGCCTGGTTGTCCCGAACGGCCTGCTCGGCAGCCTCGATGGACTTGAGACGCTGCTCGTAGAGTTTGCGGTTCTCACGGTTCTCATCGGGGTGGGTGACCCAGCGGCGCTCGTGGACGACGAGATGCGGATGAGGAATACGCGCGTCCGCAGCCTGCAACACCTGATGCTTGCCGGCGCCCTTGCCAACCCGTTCGATTTGCGCGGGTTTCTTGGTGACGCCCATGATGACACTATCGGGGTCCGACAGCTGCTGCGCGGATTGTTCGTGTGTGAGAGCGGGTGCAGCGGAGAAGACACGACCAGCGTCCATACGGTTGAACTGACGAGACTCGGGAACGGGGTAGAAGATTTGGGGATCCGTAGCCCGATGAACCGGAAGGTCGTTGATCGACTCATGAGGGTTATGGCGCCGATCCATCGCGTCCGAGTAGAGGGGTGTGCAGGGAACCATTTCATGCACAGCACGAGCATATGGTAAAGCCATAGACTTACCCTAATAGACGAGAAGGAATGTTAGCAAGAGCTAGGCTCATAGACTTTCGCGTCATAGCATGAATAGGAAAAAAAATTAAAATAAAGATGCATATCAGTAACATAAGGCGTTGTAACCATTCCCAGCTGAACTGGGTCATAAAGACTAATCGAAAATTTCTTGTGTCTCATCATTGCATCGAGGTTTGGGGGAAGAGAGAATAGAACAAAAGAACGAAAGAGCGGGGGATCGTTACCTGTTGTTTCGTCCGCTTCTCAAGCTCAACTAACCGCACCACAGCACCCACTCGCCGCATGTCAATTCCGTAGTTGACACTCACGGCCCGCACACTCTTCTTCTTGATCACAACCTGCTCGTACACCTCCTTCCGCAGATCCTCGCTGAGGATGCTCTCGCTGACGAAGCTGGGGTTAAGCGGGAACGGACGCGTATTTTGACGGCCCTCCTCGATGAATCTCCGACCCTTCAAATAGTTGGTCTGCCCCGGAGTGTGGGATTTGTACCCAGCGCCCTCTGTGTCGAGCCACTTGAACATGTTGACACGCAGCCTCGTCTGGGGAGCCATGGTGGAGGAGAAAGGTCGGCGTGATTGAGGGCATGATGTGGGGAGCTTAGATAGAGAGGTAGATGAGGAAGTGGTGGAGGTGGAGGACAGGTAGGGAAGAAGGGAATTGGAGACGAGCTGGTTCTGTATTCGGGGAGGCATGATGAGCAAAAGAGGTAGAAAACCTCCCTATTAAGACAACCGCACAAGACACAAAGGAGTAATTTTAGATGTATTACAAAAAGGTCACTGGGTATAGATAGCAGCAAAATAACCTGTATCAGACGCAAAGAGACCAATTGGGTGTTGGGAGTGGAGGAGGGGAGGTGAATGGAGAGAGAGGAAGAGGGAGAGAAGAGGGAGAGAGACTGGCGGATGCTCGAAGAAACTTTTCGGTGCCGAAGATGCTCACGTGACCCACCTCGCCCGTTCGGGAAATCCTCAACATCGCGGCTTTCGACCATCGGCCAGACTTTCACTACGAAGTCATTTTACTGTTTATAGTTTCAACGAGCCCAGAAGGTGGAAAATCATGAAATAATGAATTATGTCCCCCAAAAGACCCTTTAGTTCTGGGACCCACAAAAAGCAAAAACCGAAGCAAAATATTTCCAAGGACTTAAGAGAAGAAAAACAAACATGATATCAAAAAGTAGAGCAAGTTTCCACCACGCTGCGTAAAAGATGCAATTCAATGAGAAGCCAAGCGCTGTAATTTCCCACGATATCCGTGTCCCAATCGAAGGGAGCCTCAAGAAATGTATCTCCATGTATAGTCCATGCAGAACGCCTCTTAATGGGTGATTCCAAGAATGAGTGAATCCAGTCCTTTATGATCATACTCCTGCCGGCCAATGGATTCTTCTCTCGTCGGTTTGTAGCACCGGCTATGTCCATTTCGCAATCCGGTGAAAAAAACGAAGAAGGTGGTAAGACAAGATATCTGATGAGAGAAATGATCCATCCCAGGAAGGCACTAAAAAATCAAGGAAAACAGCAGCAAAAAAGAGACCAAAGGAAACGAGATCGAAAAAGAGAAGTAATAATACTAGTCATAAGAATGACAAACCCCCAAAGAAAGCAAAACTTGGAATCGCACTGGCAATTTTCCGATATCAAAAGGACGCCGGATGCACAGATGAAAGTAACACTCGCTATCAATGAAGACGTGAACACAAACGCAAACATAAACCACAAGACTCGACCCGCAAGATGTCCTTCAGAAAGCACTATTACCGAGAACGCGCAACACAATAGTACAGCACAGGGTATGAATGATGATAGGAAAATCAGCCGAGTGAAATGGGGAACAAAAGCAAGATCCTCGAGGGCTTCTCAGGTAAAAGAAAACAATCGCACACAATGACAATGCAATCCTACCCAAAAGCAAAACCGGTAAAAAGAGAAAGAGAAAACGACAGTGTATCAAAGCGCCCCTGATTTCCATGCTGACAAGTGAATCGAATCGACAAAGGCAAGATGGGAGAACGAAAGGGGAGAGAAAATGTAAACGGGATTAGAAAAAAAAAAAAAAAAAAGAAAGAAAAAAAAAAAAGGTCAAGCAGAAGCAGGCGACAGGAAAGCCCAGGGACCCATGATCTTTACTCCCAAGAAGAAGGGGAGGAGCCCTTCCCAATGCTGATTGATCTAGCTCGTGAAACGGTGAATGAAAACCCCTCCAAAACACAAAATGCGCCACATACCCTAACAGTCATCAAGCGTGTCAGACATAAGTTCCACAGAGAAAAGAAAGAAAAAGTTGAACTCCTGTGTCAATTTACCGACCCATCATGTAGTCGGGATAATAACCTGATGCACCGCCGGATCCGGCACCATTGGACGGAGGGGGAGGGGGAGACATGGGATTCACGGCATGCGTCCGAATGCCCAGGCCTGTGTTTGCGTGGAATGAGGCATTGTTAGCCATTGGATGCATGACTCCATTGCGCACTGGCATTGGTTGAATGAAATTTGGTGGGCCGAGTCCAGGAGGCGGTCCGCTCACCGTAGAAAACATGTGGTTGTGCATGCCGGCGAGACTGCTGCCCCCAGACACTGGAACTTGCGATGCCATGCCATTCGATGCATTGTTAGAGCCTGGCTGGCCCGATCGAACGCCCAGAGGATTTTTCGAAAAACTTAGGCGGATCCCGGTTTTGATGCTGTTGGACAGTTTATATCCGTACAACTCGTTGAGCGCCTTGCCTGCTGTACCCACGTCATCAAACTCGACGAAGCACATGGGGCCATTTTGTTTGTTGCGGAAACAGAGACGCTTGTAACCCCGTTGTTTGGAGAAAAGGGCCTTCAGCTCTTCTTCCGACGCGTCCGGGGGCAGATTGCCAACGTACAGGGTATTGCAGGGCGGGTTCATATCGTTCGGGTTGGCGGCGGGGAGGCTATGACGAGCCTGGTGCCCGTGCGGATAAGGGTGCGCATGGGCACTTCCCAAGTTGTTGGCCATGGACTGCTGAGAGAAGGCGCCGGCAGGGGTGGTGATTCCCACATGAACGGCTCCGCCGGGAGTGTAATTAGACAACGGCGGCGAGGACATGTTGTTTGTCGCAATGGACAAGTTGCTAAACTGAGCGGTCGGAAACTGAGGGTTGGTTGACCGGCGAGGGAGTGCGCCCGGGCCCGAGCTCGAGTGGCCATTCTCTGCATATCCTACCGGGTCCTTCAGGATTTCGCCCGTGTCTTCATCAAGGTCCTGGTCAATCATCGACTTGCCGCTGATGCGCGGAAGGTCATGGACACCATTTCCGATCGGTGATTGAGGCGAAAACAGATTATGCATCCGGGAACCTGCATCGGAGGAAGGGGGTAAGGGGTCATTGGTCGACGAGGGGTTAGTCGCGGTGAGTTTCTCCATGCTCTGGAAGGTACCATTGAAACGCGACCGCGCCGGATGGCCGTTTGACGCGACGTTTCCAAGCAAAGATGGGGTCCCGGTATGATCGATGGTGCTGCGCCTGGGAGCCAAAGACGATGGCGGAGGGCCGTGGCACATCTCCACGATCATCTCTGCGTCATTATTGGTGTTCGGCTTGCCATCTAGAAGCTTCCGTGCCTCCTCTGCGCCCGTGAGCGAACGGAAGCGCGCGATCGCACTGAGGTATCTATTGTCACTCGAGGGACCGGGGAGCTCGAAATCAACGTCGATGAGCTCTTTAGAAAAGAGTAGCATGGTGCGCAAGAGATCGGGAGTCGTGGTATTCGGGAGGTTGCGCAAGCGGATCGCGACGGCGCCGGCGTTGCCAGGTCGGACGAAGCCGCCGAGGCTCTGCGGCGACCGGTCGGAATCGCTCAGGCGCATGGTGGCGGGCGGAACGTTGTCAAGAGACGAGCCGATAGGCGAAAACGAAAAGGGGAACGAGGCAGTTAGAGACGTTGGCGCTTGCGACGCGGTATGATTGTACACGTCGGTCGACATCGCATTCTGGGCCGTCGAGGGCACCTGAGAGGATGGGAACGACTGGTGCGGAGGCGACGCGCCCGACGACACGGAGGGTGTGCGCTGGGTGGTGCTATAGGAGCCTGGACTCGTACGGGTCGACTGATTCGAACTGCCACTCATGCCTTGCGGACCGATGATCCGACCACGAGAGGAGTGGAACGTGTAGGTTGAGGTTCCTCGCGAGGCAAGGAGCGAGGGTGAGAGAAGAGAAAGAGGAGCGACGGGAGGCAAAGAGGTGACAGGGGGGTTCCGAGTTGGATGCGTGGAGATTTGAGAACGGGGGCAAACGCGGAAGCAAGATTAATAATATGGAAATCAGGGACAAGATTTAGATCGATCGAGACGAATGCAGCACGAGGTGGGCGACAGGCGAACGAATCCTTCCCTGACGAAAGAAAGCGACACGATGAAACAGAACCACGATGTGGATGGAAGAAGAGGCAAATGCGACTGACGGACCGAGGGGCCGAGCGCGGATATAGAAATGATGCGTAGCGGTCTCAAGACCAGACTCGATGAATAATGATGATCAATAAGATCCAAAGTTTGATGACAGGGAAAAAATGCACATCAAGAATGACAATAAGAGATGAACGTGATGGAGAAGGACGAGGAGGGAGGGGAGGGTATGTGTGTGTGTGTGTGTAGAGAGAGAGAGAGAGGAGGGGGGCGGAAGGAGAAAGAGAAAGGAAGATTATCAGGAGGGAAGAGGAACAAAAAGAGGACGAGAGAAGCGCAGGGGAGTTCGGGGGGAGGATAGAGTTAGTCTAAGTTTGGGGGGTGAAGGGAAGAGGGAGAGAGGGAGAAGGAGGAGGAGGGAAGAGGGAGGGGAGGTAAACGGGGTGGTGATGCTGTGGTCGAACTCGGGGCCTGTGGCTACAACCACGCGGGGGTCGTCGCCCTAAGCCGATCCCGGAAACGGTACGTAATACAAAGTACGAAGTATACTTCCGGAGGGTGTATGTACTGTATGTACACTCAATGTAGTTAAATGATTTTGAGTGAATATTCATTTTAGTCAATAATAGTAAAAGAGTCTACGATAGAACAGGTCCGACTAGGAAAGCCTTCTCGGTCAAGTGGTGAGGAGAAAAGGGAGGCCTGATGAGTTGATTACTCGGCGAGGGCGAAGCGCGTTTGGACCACGGATCGAGTCTGCTTCTGTTCCAGGGACTTCGTAGTCACCTGCAGCCGTCTCTGAGCCGTCTCTGATCATAGGCAGAGAGACACGACAAGCGCAGCCTGCAGTCCGGGAGTATTCTTGCTTTCGTCCAACGAGAGTCCCGGTCCAGGCCTGGAAGTCCCGTCAGGACCTACGGAAGTACTAAACAGTCACTAGGGAACTGCGCGACCCGAAATGTCCGGTTGACACGACGCGCTATTGGGATCATTATATTATTTTCTTTATTTTATTTTGATTTTGATTTTTGAAAATTAATTTAATTACGTTCATGATTATGGTTCCTCTCCAGAGTCCTGATTAGTACGGAGGAGTACGGAGGAGGATTCACTATCTTCAACGACCGTTTCCTTCCCCCTGACTATTCGATGCCTGTCCGAAAAAGAAAAAGGAACCCTGGAAATCGTCGGTCATTTTGCAATGAGTCACAGTGTGCGCGAGGCTCTCTCTCTCTCTGCCTTCTGACTAATGGAATCCAAGGTATCACAACCTCGTGCATTGCTCTTACCGAGTGCAGCGATCTAGGCAGACCCGAGAGACGGATGCGATCAGGGCGTGCGTGCGCGGGGATCCCGCGGCGCGTGGAGACTGGAGCCACCACGCCCATTCTTACGGGACGGTACTGCCTTACTCTATGATAACATCTTCATACTCCATAGATAGGGACTAGCTGCATGGTTGGCATCGTGTTCGGCATTATCCTTGCGCCTTGAAATTCTTTTTACTTTTGTTCCCTGCCCTCCCCCGTAGTCTAGTTCGTGATGACGAATTGTCTCCTGACGAAACCCTCCCCAACGGCAGCCCTGCACCTGATCAATAATAAAGAACCTTTTGTCCTCTTCTTCAGTGTACCTAGTGAGAGAAAACCTAGCAAGATATCCTTCACCATCCTTTTTCCCGTTCACCTCGACCGATCCTAGCAGGTACCTAGGAGATGTGATTGCATTGCAGGAGTCACCACACCGGTTCCCTGTCACCCTTGTCTTTTCAGATACTTCCCATTTTTCCTACTCTTTTTATTCGTATTGGATATCCAAAACAGCAAGACACATGTGCACAAAGGTGAGTTTAATGAACCACCACCATTACCACCACCACCACCACCACCACAATCCTCCCAAATCCAAAGTCCCAAACGTGAATAGTAATCCCAAGAACCCCATACTCCGGACTTTCATCCTGAGAGCCAGATCGCCAATAGGAGGCGCACAACGGCAACCAAGCGGGCCCCGGTGGCTGCCATCAACCCATGGAAAAGCTCAAACTCTGCCGCCGATCTTCCCTGCTGGATAGTGGCCCTCGGGGGGGCGTCTCCAATCAATTGAAGATTCCCTCCCCCCTCTTCTGCCCCCTTTCTGTGGGCTTTCTTTCTGTCTGTCTTTCTTTCCTGGTTTGACGTTGCCCGGCGGCGCATTATTAGTAAGTCGGTTGTATTTGCTGTGCCTTGTTGGAAAAACTTTTATTTAGATGGTTCGTGGTTTCTTTCAGCGGGTTTGATCTGGTCTATTCTATGCGTTGCTACTGGCTCTCTCCCTCTCCCCTCTCCCCTCTGTCTCCTCTTTTTGTCTTTGATCCGAACTTCGATTGCGATGACTGATTGGCCTGGATCCTGGTTGATCTTGTTTCGGCTGTTTACCTAAAGTTAGCGTGCACTCGGAGTGGTACCTAGTGCTTATTTAGATTCTGGGCTCAGCTCATCTGACGGGCTGCCTAGGAACGATCCTCTTGACAGTACGGAGCACGGGGTATACGACGCGCACTCTATCATAATAGACCCCTGGCCAGGTAGGCAAGTAGGTAGATAAGTAGGTAAACACTCAAATCAAGGGATCTAGGGAATGCCCATGACGCGTCTCGTGAGTCAGACCTCGGCCTTCAAACTCAGACAGAGAGAGGTCCTCCATTGTCATGCGAGTTCTATATATGTTGTGAGACCTACATGTCTCAGGCACAATGACAGACTCGAATCAGCACGTATGTACATAGTATGTATGTATGGTTGGATGTTACTCTAAGACATGGCAAGGCGGTGGGAATTGCAAAGCCAACCAACCAACCAACCCTTTTTGCTGTTTCTGTTTCAGCCCTGTTGGGAATGACATGCAGGTCGAGCTATGTATGCACCGTATGAACGTACGTGCTTAGGCTAGATGGGGAGATATGGGGGTATGGGGTGAGATCTCACGTCTGGTTTCTGCCTTGAGGTTGGGGATCAAAAGTATAGAACCGAAGTCCTGGTTGGACCTTGCTGAAACTGTAAGTAAGGCAAGGTAGGGTACCTAAGTCAGGTCATTTGACATGACCTCGTCGGAGGACGCCGGAGATGTTTTCCTCGGGGTCTGTCTAGTATGGGCATACGTATACATATGTACTCCGTACAAAAGCAGACGTCCCCCTTGCTTGAACCTAAGATAGATGGCCCCGAGTTCACTTGTCTTGTCGGAGATGATATCCTCGAGGTTAATAGATAGGATTTCTCTCAAGGACAAATAAAAAATCTCCCATAAAAGGGGAATGCGAATCCATGTTACATAGAAAACAAAGAAAAAAAGTCGACCCGCATAATATACATACAAGTGAGAAAAAGTGTTTAAAAATAAGACCAGAAACGCCAAGCGAAATGCCAAAGACAAGGGGGTTGGTTGCACAAGCCAGTTTTTCTTTGTCACGCTGTTCATCTCGCGCTCCATCTAGGCTTTCGCTCTCTCGTTCATGCCGTCTTCCCGAAAAGGAACTTTAACTCTTGCGCTCAACGATGTAACCTTGATGAGGTTGAAACGGCTGAGAGAGCAGCTTGATTTAACCCAAGAACAGGTGGGACCCTCCCAGTTTAATTTACTTCATCTCGTGCGGTTTGCGTTGCGCGATGCCGGCCTGTTGAAGCATATCGGTTAGCCTGCCAACTCCCTTTACCGGTATATACGTAGTCCACCACGTACCAGGTCCAGTAACCGCCACACGGAATCAGTAGGCTGCGCGCCAACACCAACCCAGTACCTCGCGCGGGATTGATCTAGTGAAATGTCCTTGAATGCTCGGTCGTCGGCCTGGTTCGTAGGACGTTGCGGCACAGGGTTGTAGGTTCCGATGACTTCCAAAGGTTTCGAGTTCCGGGCAGTACTAATCGAGGCAACAGTTAGTCTTCGTTCATTGCTCTAAGTAATTCCGTGCCATTCCCAATTCCAACGTAGAGCGCCGGCTAAAAAATACGACGGAGAAAAACCTACCGGGTGTGCTGAACCACAATGTTGTAAAAAGGCTGGTGCTTGTTGCCGAAGCGGGCGAGACGGATGCGGACGACCATATTGACGATTGGTTCTTGATATTGACCGGCAAGAAATCACGACGCAAAAAGAGCAATGGGATACCGAATGCTGGGACCTGGAGCAAGACAGACTCCGCGGAAGTTCACGCGGGTCCGGAGGAGGTATTGTTCCGAGAGAACCCTTTCTGGTCTAGCGTTGTTTAGGCGGTGGAGCACGAGATGCGCCGTGATAAGGCGATGATGCAATGCCCATCCGTCGAGATTATTTAGTTGGGACTCGAGCCTTGCTTCGAATGTTCTCTTCACTATTTGACATCCAATCCAAATTTTTCCAGAATTTGTATGCTTCGCTCTGTGCTTGCTAGACGGCCTCGATTTCCCGTCCCTTTTCGCAATTACGCTCAAACCGCAAAGATGTCGTTGAAGGTACTGTATTTATTCCCCGCTTTGCAACACTACCTCGATGGTAAGCTAAATGCGTCGCAGGCCATTTCCTCCAAAGATGCCGCGTCCCTCGACAAGGACCTAATGGAGATCGGTGGATGGTCTCTGGATCAATTGATGGAATTAGCTGGCCTGTCTGTCTCGCAAGCGAGTGAGTCGACCTCTGCTGGAACTATTCCACCAACGTAACCCCGGCAGCGCATGGCTAAAAATCACGATCTAGTTTACCGC